GCTCACCCGGCGCTCGCCGAACACGCCCCGGAGGCGGCCCTGCGGCCTGACGTCGAACGCGGCGCCCACCGGGGCCCAGCTGGTGCTGACCCTTCGGGCTCGGACGCCAGCTCTGCAGCCAAGTCGGCCCGCTAGCCGCGGCCGCAGAGCCGCTACCCCGGCTCCGAGGCCGCCCAGCCTGCGGGCGCACAGCATCGCGTCCCGCTGCAGCCTGCGCCCCAGCCCGGAGGTCGGAGCCCCGGAGCCCCTGCTCCAGCGGAAGCACGCGCTCTGCGTTTCCTAGGCAGCAGGCCACGCCGCGTCACGTGACGCCCGCGCTTCCGGGTCACGCGAGTACGCCGACGTCCCGAGGACAAGAGCGGCCCCCTGCCGCCTTCTCCGCAACCGCTCAGGTTTGGCGCCCCCGTGTGTCCGGAGTGGGGAACGGCTAAATTTGCCCTTCTCCCTCACGTGACTCGAACCGGGCCAGAAGAGCCACACGACGCCTTGGAATTCTCCCCAGAACGGGGAAGGCTTCTGCACAGAGAACTCAGCAGTGTGCCTGGTGCGAGGTAACCATGACCGAGTCTGCGGAGCGGTCCCTGATCTGATCGAACAGAGCTGGGGAGGCCACACCCGCGGATAACATCAGCTAGGAGGGAGGTGACAGTGGCCGAGGCCGCTTCGGAGTCAGTGGGAAAGGCGTCGACCTAGACCGGGACGTGTCTTAACTTCTGCATCCGGGGCATGCGGCGAGATCAGTTTGCCAGTCCGGAGTTGGAGAAACGCCTTGCTGTGCGTGTGGGAAAAGGAGCGTTAGAGCGAGGAGGCCGCGTCGGATCAGCAGGAGGCTCTGGGGAAGGAAGCAGCTGCTCCGGCCAGGGCGGGGGCTCCCGGGGCCCGCTGGATCTGTCCTCAGGGAGAAGTCAGCATCAGCTGGAGGCAGCAGGCAGGAGGGAAAGAAGAGGGATTGGGAGGAGCGCAGGGTGGGAGGTTAGGGAGGGTGAGGAAGGCCTGGACGCCGGGGATCTCCGCAGGTCGGGGAGGGGCGGGAGGTTTCAGGTTTTTGAGGAGACAGGCGGGGGGCAGATGGGGGACAGAAGAAGGACGGTTTCCCGTGGACAGCAGAGAGAGGTGTTTGTCATGCCCGGTGTGTCAAAATGAGAGTGGCCGTGTGGTTCCCAGCGGACTTCTCCAGTTGGGCTCAGGACATAGCAGTGTGGGTGGGGGCCACGGCGGGTGTCCCACAGTTAGCCGGACGCCAGGGGAAGGCGGTTCTTCCCGGAGCGTGTTTCTGTGACCAGCATGGGTTTAAACGGCGCGGAGAGTGGGGCAGGCCTCTCTGTCCCACCGGGCAGAAGGGTGGAAAGCAGCAGAGGGGCAGCAGAAAGGGTGAACGGTGGGAGAAGACACAGTCCCTGAAGATTACGGCTGAGTGGAGGGCGAGTGCAACATGCCCAGTGATGTGAGCTTCGCTGGGAGTTAACAGCGCCTCTTTTAAGGTCTGAAGAAACAAGTGAGGAAGGGTCTTGTGCTCTGAGGGCTTGGTGGGGTCTCCCTTTATTTGTTTGTAGAGTGCTTTAGTGAGGAGAGCAAAGCCGGAAACCCGGAGGCGGAAGTGTCCAATTCGGCGGCGGAAGGAGAGCGGCCGTTGTTTGGTGGGGGGGGGAAACCCGGAGGCGGAAGTGTCCAATTCGGCGGCGGAAGGAGAGCGGCCGTTGTTTGGTGGGGGGGGGGGTCAGGCACCACGGGGCGTGTGGGAAGGACGATCTGGTTGATAGTGGAGATCTCATACCAGCAAAGGCCATCTGCCTTCCGTTCCGGGCAGTGAGAGTGCTGTAAGAGGAGTCCACGAGGATTCAGGGACTGGCTCACAACAGGCAAGAAGTAACAGGCTGTTGTTCCCACAGAGCCAGGTCGGGGATGGGATATTGCCCTTGGCGGGTGGGCGGGGTTAGGCTTGAGAAGCATGGTGAGTGGTTGTTGGAAGGAACCCAGGCGTGGGGCAGGAGTGTCAGACTCTGGGGTTGAAGTGAGGGGAAATGACAGGAGGCGTGGAGGAGCGGGGAAAGTCCTGTAAGCATTGGTTGTGTCCCAGGAGTGGTCAGGGTAGCTGATAACCTGGTTAAGATGTCTCACCCTAAAAGGGGAGCAGGACAGGTAGGGATGACTAAAAAGGAGTGTGGGAAATGGTGCTCACTCATTTGGCACAGACTGGTGGAGTTAAGGTTCTGGGGAGTTTGCTGTCAATGCCCACAGCAGTGAGTGGAGCAAGGGGGCTCGGTCCTTGGAAGGAAGGCTAAGTGACGTGGCAGGCACCCATATTGATTAAAAATGGGATGGACTCACCCTCCACTGTAAGAGTTACCCAGTGTTGGGCGCCCGAGATGTTCCAGGGGGCCTCTGAAGCCTTTCGGCAGCTTTAATCTTCAGTGGCCGAGCCAAGAAGGTCCAGGAAGGAGCTGGTTGAGGGTGTCTGGGGACCTCGAGCATAAGTTTAACTGATTTGAGCTATACCAGTCATGTTTAAGGAAGGGAGCATTGGTAGCAAGACCAATGATCCAGAGATCTAAACCATTGTTTAAGTCTTTTGAGATAGAATAAGAAAATATCAAAGAGTTGACAATAGTTGGAGCACTTTTTACCTGTGAAAGAGATCATCCTAGAAATAGACAGAAACAAACAAATGACTCAGACTAATTCCTAATTCTGCCTTGGGCTGTAGAGCAAAGAAGCCTCCAATACACCTGTATTATCTGTCTAATCATCTGGGTGACCCCTTTAGCAGCAAGACAACGCTATGTGTAAAGTCCAGTCTAAAAGTTCTGTGTCTCTGAAGCTCGCAGGTTCAATTTATAGTTAGTGCCTCAAAACCATGAGTTACAAATCAGTAAAGGCTCATCCATCACTTTTCTTGTGCACACAAAAGAAAGGCTGAACTGATGGATGAGGTCCCACAATTTATTAATAAGCATATATTTTTTTTAAAGTATAAGCTAGATTTAATAAGAAGACCCATTTTATAGCATTTTCTACATTTATCCTGTAGTTAGTATCAAAGTCCACCAGATGGTATTTTTAAGCAAGTCTGAATGCAGTACATATAAAGCAGGAATATTAAGACCCTGCCTTCAAAATTAAAATGTTTAGGTGATCCCTTGGGGAGTTATGTAGGCCTGGTCTTTTTGTTGTCTTGAAGCCCAGCCTCTAACTGATGCCTCTCTGGCTACAGTTGTGGTGTGTTATCTTTTGTCTTGACTTTCTGGAGGGCCCAGTCATACCTGACCACCGATAATATTTCTATGTAACTTAGCTGTCTATAATATCCCCCTTCTGAAAAAGTATCTTGAACTGCCATGAGGGAGCAGGGGGTAGTGAGCATTCTGGCTGCTTCAGGCTAATGGAGGTCATAGTTGTGACTGGCACTTAGAGACACTCTCCAGAGTGTCTATCTAAAGGTCCTGGATAGATGTCAGGTGCTCTTCTCTTGAGTAAACATATAGCTTTAAATCTGAGGAGACAAGGCCAAAGATACAGTTAAGTAAGCATGAGCCAGACAATAAAATCAGCAAGGCTATTATGAATATAACCAAAAAGTATTTTTTACCAGGAAGAGCCAGTAATAGCTTCCCACAAAGAGGGTAAGGAGAAGGTCCAGGGAGCTTTAGAATCCGAAATGGCATTAACCTGTTGTTTACTATCTTGAATAGTCATCGAGATATTAGCAAAAGTATCAGGAATGGACACACAACATGTAGCCTTTATAATTGTACAAGTATCCCCCTGTGCTGCTGTCAGGATATCTAAGGCCATCCAATTTTTGAGGATGGCTTGTCTCATTAATTTAATTTTTTTTTATTTCATACAGACAGACCAGTCAAGGTGTTGTTTAGAGCCCGCTGAGTACTTGACAAGGGGAGCAGGCCATATATCTAGCAAGATGTTTGTTGTAATGATTCTGTGTATTTCACACTCAGCATCAGTCTGTGGTTCCCAGGACTTGAGTTGGGTGTGGTGTACCCAGGAGTCCAGGCTTGGTACCTTGACAGCTGGTGGAGCTGACAGGACCATGGTGTATGGTCCTTTTTAAATTAGTCTTTGAAATACTTTGTCAGCTCTTTCTTGGTATCCTGGACAGTGAACAACTGCTAATTTGGAGGGCACATAGACAGATGACAAAAGTTTATTTCTCTCTTTTGATTGTACTTTTCTGCTGGGTGCTTGGGACCAAGTTAAAATGAGAGTTGTGTTAATCGAAATTGACCTCCTTCTAGCTATCAGGGTCAGATAAGCCTCTTCAGGCACTACTCTTGGAACCATGTACAGAGCCTCTCAGCTCCTCTGTCTTTGTTGGCTGCCAGGATGGTCATAGTCTTACTTGACCATGTTGCTTTCTGTGAAAGCTCGGGAAACTTTTCTCTCTTGATGCCCTGCCTTAGGCACACTGTGCATTTGTTTATCTCTGTCCTCTGGAGTCCAGCAATCTTCCTTCTCAGGAGATTGGGTGACTCACCAGTTATAGGATCCTATAGAAAAGGTTCTTTCAGGTCCTGGGGCTCTGCACACTTTGGAGGGCCAGGGCCAAAATATTTGCTTTTTTAGCCCAATTATCTCTGCAGTTCTGGTTTCTAAACTTTAGTACTTGAACACCCAGAAGAGAAGATCAGTTATATAAGACTTCGTTAGGAGACATAAAGCACAAGTGTAAGTTGCTTTTTGATAGCTATTGTCTCCTGCTGAAGGCAAACAGTTGTAAGCTTTGTTAATTTAACCTCTTGGAGGGAAAGACAGTCCTCAATTAAGGGCGTTGAAGTTAACTTTTGGTGAATTGGAAAAAATCTGGGGTTTTAAGCGTCAGAACAGAAAAGGTCTAAAAAGAACAGAGAGGGAGAAACATGGACCCAGACTGTCTTTTGTTCTTGCCACTTTGTGGAGCAGGCATAGAGGGGTGGAGGGCGCAGGAGCAAGTAGTCTGGACAGGGCGTGTGGCGAGGTGGGGGCTGCGAGAGCGTATGGTGGAGGGTAGAGGAGAGCGCGCAGCCTGGGCAGCCTGAGCCTGCAGCATCATGAGCAGCCGCAGACCCTTGGAAGGCAGCCCAGGGTGGGCCCAGGCTGAGCACAGACCAGCTCACTTACAAAGCCAGGCAGCTGCACTGTGGCAGGAGCAGGGAGGGCAAGGGCAGCATGGTGTGGGCCAGCCAGGGGCCACTATGCAGGGATGTGGTGGGATTGGTGAGGGCCGTGGCCCATGGCAAAGGGGAGGCACGAGGCTGGTGAGGAGGGCACAGTCCAGCATTTTCATTACCAGGGCTGGGCTAAGCCATGCTTGTGCAGACCATGGGCTGTGGACACAGGTGCTGTGGTCCCACTATGTACACAAGTGCTAGTTGGACCTTCACTCTATAGCATTGCCACATGCCTGCTATGCCAGGCAGCCAGGGCTCTGAGAGAGGCAAGTGGGCTAGCGGGTAGAATGGGCCAGGCATGCTGAGAATGAGCACTTGGCATTGAAGCCACTGCAGCCTGGGACACCCGGCCCAGCACTGGTGTGTAGGCAGGGCAACTGAGGCTTGGCGGCCCGTGGCTGGCCAGAGGGCATGCCTCAGGGTGAATGGTGGTGGTGGGGAGGAGGGAGTCAAGTGAGGGGAAGGGTAAGTGGCTGTGGCTGAGAACTGGGCTCATGCTGGGCTCCATGAGCCCCTCCTCCCACCATGAGGCAGAGGCCACAGTGGGCCGGCTGGGAGAGGGAGCCCGAGACAGAGGGAAAACTTTTAAAGGCTCAGAGGGTGTTAAAGGCATGGAGAGGGGAAAGGGAGAAGTCTTACCTGATCTGCAGTTGGTGGAGAGTGTCTGCCGTGTGGTCTGAGAGGCTAAAGTCACAGGGGGCCTCCTTAAGATGCAGTTGGTCAAGGTAGGGCTCGAAGTCCCTCTAAAGAGGGGAGCCCTGTCCTGGGTTTCAGCACCATATATGTTAAAGATGTGGAGGGGAGAGACCACCTGAGAAAGCTCTGTATACACAACCATGGCTGCTTATTCCCTCCTTTGGGAGTGGGCTGAGTTTGGAGAGCAGAATCAGCAGGAAGTGAGGGCAGAACAAAGGATTTAAAGGGGAGGGGAGGAGTTGCTGCCTGGAGGAATTTGGGGGCAGGGAGAGTGTGGGACAAATGGTGCAAATGACCATGGGTTTGACCTCTTCTGTGGTTTCCTGCTGTGCCTGCCAGAAATGGCCTCACCCATTGGGTATGACTGTACCCAGGTAGGCCAGGAAAATAACTCACATCAGCCACATGGTCTCATTTTTGGTTTGGAGCACTAGTCCTTCTAGTAAGATCATATAAAGAACTGAAAAATAATGGCAAAAATAATTCTTTCAAACTCAAAGGACATCTTAAGTAGGCTTTGCTTGCTTAGGCAAATTTTATGACTACATATGGTTTAATTCTCAGCCTCGAAAAGTGTATCAGGTTAACTTACACTTCTGTAATTACTTGCAGAATTGTAGAGGAGGACAGGGCTATATGTAATAATAACTCAGTTGAATCCCTATTCTGTAACAGGAGACTCAGACACAGAAAAGCTCGTGAACTGGTGTGGGAAAGAGAGGTCCAGAGGTCTGGTTGACAGCTGTGGCAGAGGAGCGGGTCTGAGCACACTCGGACTCGTCATGTCCTCGGCACACCAAGTGAGTCGCCCTGCCTAGGCTGTCCTGCTCTGACCTCTTACTTCTTCTGCACAGCCCCCATCGCCTCCAAACCACGCCCCTAGCCCCGCCTCCATTGCCACGCCTCTAGCCTGCTTAATAAAATGCCTGGTACTTCCGTAATAAACCGGATCTGCGCCATCAGACTGGTCTCCAGTGTCTTCTTTTCACTGTGTCGCCGCTTACCACGGGCCCAGGTCCCTCGACCCAAAGAGGTTCTACCTCAAACTGGTCTGGCTCCAGTTTCTTGGTCATGGCTGGAAGGACAACTCACATGTCTCTGCAGTTAGCTTGGATTTCCCCTCAATAATCACACTGACCCTCTCCTTGGACCACAAACCACTTAGGATTCTTAGGTGGAAATGGTAGTAACACAACGCCTGCATCAGACCAGTTTAAGCCAACAAAGGGAATTTGTTGGCTCAACGAGAATTTGTTGGCTCACATCAGAAAATAGTCCAAGAGTAGCTCTGTCTTTAGGGACAGCGGCATTGAATGAATCTTAATCGAATGAATGAATTCATTCTAAAATGAATCTTAATTCATTTTCTGTTGCTGTAACTGAATACCTGAGATTAGTAATTTATACTGAAAAGGAATTTATGATTTTCAGTTTTGAACCGGGGTAGTAGAGGAACATGGCACTGGCATCTGGTGAGGACTGGTTTGCTGCCTCATAACCTGGCAGAGGGTATCAATCATGGGACCCGACCCTCCTAACATCCTCTGATCCTAATCTCCTTCCAAAGGCTCAATCTGTAAACTCACTGACATACGGGTTTGAGGATTGGGCTTCTAACCCATTAAACTGGAAGGATATGTTCAGTATAGCAAGTGGGTTATCTCCAGCTCTGCTGGGTTCATCATAGAGCAGCTTGAAGCCCTCATCCTCCCTGGTCTAACTTCAGCTAGGAAAGAGCACGGTCTGGGCACCAGGCGTACCAGTTTCTGAGTGCCACTCACTGATTCTGACCAATCAAGGGCCATCTTGCAACCACCGTCATGGCGGTGTTCTGGTTAGCCGGGTTGGGTCTACACCATCTGAAAAACTCAGGCAGAAAGCAGAATTCAAATATGTTTACCAGAAGGTGGAGCAATAGGTGGTACTTGTTGAAACAAAAATGCCTGTAGGCCTGAGGGAGAAGTTTCCCTTTAACCTCTTCTCTTAGTAAACCCATCACTACTCTGCTCCTTTACCCATAAATCTCCCTGGTGTCTACTTCCAGTAACTCTTTTCCTCCTCATTGTAAAACTTTAGAAGCTAAATAGTGAACAAAGTCTGATGGAATTTTCCTTATTGGGTGTTGCATATGCGTGTAATTTGTAACCCCCTTTTTTTGCTCCTTCTATTTCTGCAATTTGGATTGGGAACATCTATCCTATGTCTGTCCCACCAAAGTGTTTTGGAAACAGATAATTTGTCTGGTTTCACAGGTTTACAGAGAGAAAAAATTTTTTTTCAGTTTTTGTAAAAATTCAGACAGGGTTTTGCTATGTAGCCCCGGCTGGCCTGGAACTCAGAGCAATCCCTGCGCCTCAGCCTCTCGAGTGCTGAGATTACAGGTACAGTGTGCCAGGCAGCAGGAGAGAAAGCTTTCCCCAGGATAATCCGAGGATGGGTCTGTCCTGTAATTGATTTGAACCACTTAGAGGATGAAATTTTGGACTTAGGCGATAGTGCTGGAATTGTTAAAACTTTGGGGGATAGGAGGATGGGGGTGAAAGTGTGCACCTGAGGAGTGTGCACATGAGGAGGACATTGACTTTAAGGGACGAGACGGAGGACTGCTGTGGATTGAACTGAGTCTCCAAAAAGCTTCTGTTGAAGTCCTGTCTCTTAGCACCTGTGACCATGATCTCATGGGGGAAGGGTCATCCTTATGGGTATGACAGGTTCCGGTGGGTCCTCCTGGGTTAGGGAGGCACTAAACGATGTGTCGTGCCTCATAAGAGGAGGGAAGTGTGGACTCGGGCAGATACAGCAAGAAGACAGCGTGAAAAGCTGGGACAGCGGTTCAGTGGTGCTGCCACAGCTGAGGAACACGGGGCTGCCAGAGCGGCGAGCGAGGACCCTCGTCAGGGGCTCTGGAGGGAGGAGGCCCGACACGCTGAGCTTGAGCTTCCGCCCTCTCCAAGGGCGAGAGAGTGCAGTTCTGCCATTTTAGGCTGTGTGGCTTGTGCTTCGTGGTTATGGCAGTCCTGGAAAACAAATGTATAGTTTCAAAGCTGACCGGGGCTCCCAAACTGGACTGAAGAGCAATGAAAATGAAGATAAATGAAGATATTTTTCAATTAGAAAATAAACAAAGTACATGGAGCCTTCTGCGGGGTCTCACTGTTGCCAGCTTTTATGTGTGACTAAATGGAATAAACATTTTCCTTTTTTCTTCCTTTGTAGCACTGGAGCTGGGACTCAGGGCCTTGTGCATCTAGCCAACGGTTCTACCACTCGGCTGCGCACCAGCTGATGTCCCTTTCTTTCTCCCTAATGTCCTCAGCAACACAGAGGAGCAACACTTGGCTCCTTAGAGCACTACAGTGACACCAGAATGCCCTTCCCAGCAGAAACACACGTGCAAAGTGCTCCTCAGAGGATACGAACAATGAAGATATTTAAAGAATCAGAATAAACAGGGCAGAGAAAATCCACAAAAATAGCAGTAAACAGGCAAATATGTAACAATTCACTCTTGGAAAGATTGTAAGTTACATGCAACCAAGTTGAGGAGAAACTTGCCCAGCTGCACTTCTCAGGATTATTGCTATCACGGAGGAAGGAGTGCGGGCGAATCGCTGAGTCATTCCCGCCATGCTAACCCTCACTGAGAGGGAGGCGGGACCAGAGGGCTCCTCCGTCAGGAGCCGCTGAACAGCAGGAAGCCTGTGAAAGTCGTGTCATCGTCCTCATCCGCAAACAGGCCGTTGAACCTCTGTCCCCCTGTCACCTGCAGCCACACCTCGTCCCCCAGCTGCAGCGGCAGGACGGTCCCCCCGGAGGCCTGGTCCTCGGAGCTCATGTAACCGTCCTTCGTGTGCAGTACTTTCACCCCATTTTTGACCAAAGCGACCTGCACGTTCCTGGAGAAGACAGTGACGTGGTAGGTGAAGTAATAGACGCCGGCAATGTGACATGTGAACTTCCCTGTGGCGACATCGTAATGGTTGAATTCGTTGTACAGGATCTTGTCGAATTTAATGGGTACGTCCGAAGGGGGGAACTTGCTCAGCACAGTCAGCCCCACACTGAAAGCGCTCTTCGGCAAAACTGGACTTTCACCAATTTTGCCTTTTTCCCCTCTATCCCCCTTCCAGCCTCTTATTCCTCGGACCCCAGGCTCACCCTGGGGTCCCATGGGCCCCACGTCTCCCTTGGGACCTGGCTTACCAATGGGGCCTACCGGGCCAGTTAAACCAGTGGGGCCCAAAGGTCCACCACTGCCCGTTAGACCTTGGGGACCTATGGGACCCATGTCACCTTTGTCGCCCTTCTGCCCTTGAGGGCCAATCTCTCCTTGCAGCCCTTTTTCTCCTAGGGGACCAACAGATCCCTTTGGCCCATGCTTCCCTGGGGGTCCTCTGGAGCCGGGGTCACCTTTGATGCCTTTGGCTTCGACTCTTCCATCTGCCCCTAAGTGGAGGAAGAAAATAAAAAGATGGTTTGTGAATCATTCCCTTGTGAACAATTCTGTGTTTCCTGTTACTGAGCCTTTATTTGAGACAAAGTAGTACACAAGTACATGTGCCTGAGTGTTGAAAATTCACTTACTCCCCAGTTACATGCGTGTGTATGACACACACACAACACCATGGGACTCTGTCCGCAGAGTGCTGGTCTCACAGGAGAGAGCCCAGCTCTTTAGCATTGAAGTCCACCATGCAGAGCAGGATACAGTCGAGCGCTTGCCCCGAGAATTGCTCTTCCAAGCAGGAAGGACTCCAGTGGGAAAATGACACAGGCCGCTGAGTGAACAGGCATTGGCCCTAGGGCTGTGACAGCCCCTCATGAGCTCCACACGGGAGCAAGCACAGGATGAGGCCTCAGCATGGCATTCATCTTGGTCTCAGGACCAGCCCCAGCCTGCCCACCCCACCTGGTGTGTTGCCCCTTCTGTCATTCTGGGTAAACACCTGGAACTTCTGTTTCTTCCACCTAGGTGGGAGAGCAGTGCTTGCAGCTCTCGACTCTGGCAGTCCTCCATCCCACCCCATCTCTACCCCTCATGCCACGGACATCAGGTCAGCAACCTGTCTGCACCAATGGTATTCCTTGTCTACACACCAGGACCAGTAATGCTAACTGGTTCATAGTGTAACAGAAGATGCCTGTTATGGTTTGTGTCTAGGTGTCCCCCAAAGCCTCATGCAGCCATGGGGCAGGCTTTTAGAGTTTGACTGATTATGGGTGCGAGAGCTACACCCGCCCTGGGGCGGATAGTTTGCATATGTTAGGGAGAAGAAGAAACTACTTGCCGCCATTCCTCCCTTTTGTGCTTGTTGCTTTTGCTGTGTTCTGCCACCATGAGCTGTAGCCCTCTGCCATGTGCCACTCTGCCTTGTAACCAGCCAAGTATGGACTGAAACCTCCATAAACTGTAAGTGAAATAAACCTGGCCTTCTTTTGTTTTGGGCGTCAGGTATTTTGTCCCAGCAAAGAGAAGAAAGTAACCAAGACAATGCCCTACCAGCCAGTATACTTTAGTTTGGTAGTTGCCCAGCTAATAGTTCTGATTACAATTCCTGTCACTTTTGTTTCTTAGAAACAGCTGGTCACTGTGATGCATAGCTGGTCACTATGATACATATAAGAACCAATCCCCAATTGACAAGTCATTCTGCCTCTGTACTTCTTGCTTGTTTATCCCATATAAACCCTAGACCACCAGAGATCAGGGCCTGATATTCTGGGAACAATTCCGATCAGTGCCCATAGACATAAATTGCCACCAAATCCCAGGTGTCATTTCGGTGTTTCTGCTTGCCATTGCATCTGATGCATTGGCTGGAAAGACCAGATTGTGCTGACCTCTTTGGTCACTGGTCATGGCCCTTGTAGATGGAGCAAGGACTTGTCCAGGTCCTTTCAGGAAAGTATACTCTTGAGATTGCTGGAGTCCCCTCAGAGATCTGGAGGAGGATTCCTGCTTCCCGCTTGAGTGGCTCACATTAGACCCCAAAGGACAGAGGACACTGTCTGTCTGTCTGCCTGCCTGCCTGATTCTGGTAAGAGCCTCAGGGACACCCCAGTTTGTCTGTCAGTCCTGCCCAGCTAGAGCAGAAGGAGAGTCCAATCAATGCTCATTAGTGAGGACCACCCTCGAGAGAAGGGGGTTGGAATGTTTAACCTGAGTGCCTGCTGAATGAATGTGTGAGCGGACCGGACAGTGTAAGCAATAGGCTGCTCTGTCTGTGTACCAAGACTGGGAAGCACTGGTTGTGTGGCTGATTGGACCCTCACCTGCAGTTCTGTGGTGATCGACACATGGCATAACAGAGGCCTTGTACCCTCCTTAGCTAAGTCATACCTAAGTCCCTGTGAGGGGCATGGCCAGGTGGGCATCTGAATGGTCTCTCTCTGGGAGGTACCACCTTTTGTCTGTTGCACCATCACTCAAGGGAACACAACACACATGTAGGAAATTGGAGATGGGAACTGATTAGTCAAAACCCACAGTCCCTCACTGCAGGAAAAAGGGCTTTTCTGAGATTACAGAGTTAAAAATGAAACAACCACTCCCTGCATCTCAGAGAAAGAAAAAAAAAGGGGAAAGGAGGCCATTTTTCCTGAGGATTCTGCCTTGGCACCCTTGTTGGCAGGCATAGTTGCTGCCAACACCTAGAGTTTCACTCCCTGCTCCCAACTCGTCTAGTTCCAGCCAGTTGAACTGGTTCCAGCTGGCTGTTGCCTGCATTCTGCCACAGAGGGGCTCCTCATGAACCTTCTGCTTCACATATGGCCTTATACACCTAAACTGGCCAGATGGCTCTGTCTAACGCCCACCCAAGATAACTGTCAGCAATTCTTTCTGAGTCCCACATTTTGACTGAGGAAAAGTTGGACTGTCAGCCCTGATGAATGCATTGCCATGGCATTTCCAAAGGTCACCCTGCCTAGAAACCCAGTCAGGTGCTTCTCAAAGACATTGAAAGGGGGGCAAAAAGCCCACCAACCACTGTTACCCAAAAACCTGATGAAAGAAAAGCACCTGATGTCCATAAGAAAATCTAGTCTGATAAACAACCATACCCCTCTAGCTATGAGTTATAAGGGCTATGAACACAACAATTAATGCCCCCTCCATCTGCGAGACACAAAGAAACCTGACTATCCAGGCTAACTCAACCTGAACCTTTCCATACCCCATTGGGCCTGGATGAACAGGACAGACAGAGCTCTATCAAATTGGACCCCCGAGAACCTGTGGTCACTGCAAAAGTCAGGAGCAAACCTGTGACTTTCCTAGTAAACAATGGAGCAGAATTCTCTGCCTTCAAAAGTCCCCTCTGTCAAAAGGTTACCATGACTGGGGCAACTGTGACTCTTGCCTCTCACCCCTTCTGCCCCACACGAACTTGCAGCCTGGGAAGACACCTCACCACACATGAATTCCTGTATAAGTTAGTCCCCACACTGCTGTTGGGAAGAGACCTCCTCTTCAAGTTAGAAGGAACCATCTCCTTTACAGCAAGCCAGTCAGCCTCCCTCTCATCTAACCCTGCACTTTCCACTTTGACTGTTCCCTGAGAGGAAGATGGTGCCTGCATCAGCCTGAGACAGATAACCGCAATCCTGAAGTTCTGAAAACTCACCTTCCAGACATATGGGCTAAAGGCTTGCCTCTGGGCCTGGACATCAACCATGTCACTTCACTGCAACTCCAGCTGCTGTCAGATGTCACAGGAAGCACAAACAGGTATCCAGCCACACATCAGCCTGATAGACTGTTAATCACCTTGGGAAAGATCTTCATGTGGTCAACAATGCAGCCGTCACCTTGCATTCTGCAGTTCCCAACCCCTACACCTTTTTGGACGGTTCCTCAATTGCCACAAGGATTTGGAAACTCTCCCACTATTTTCCTGGAGTCCCTAGCAACAGACTTGGCTCTGGGACAGCCTGTTTCTCTGTCCTTTCCAGCTCCATCACGGTCCCCTGAGAAAGAAAATCTGAGGCTTCAAAGCTATACAATGTCTACAGACTATCAAATTGCTAAAATGTGTCTCTCCTGCCTGTAAAGCCAGTTCAAGATCTCCAAGCTGCCAATTCCACTGTGACTGCCCTCCATATACACTGACTCAGTCTTCTGCCACCCACAGCCTGCTGGTACAACTTGGCTGGACCTAAACAATGCCTCTTTCTGCCTTTAATTGGCTCCTGTCAGCCAGCTCCTCTTCACCTTTAAATGGAAAGACCCCAGTTCTGGACTCAAAAGTCAACTGACCTGGACTCAACCTCCCAAAGTTTCAAAAACTTCTTTCACTAGTTTCCCAGCTGATCAGTGACACTCAAGCTGCCTGCTAAAAAGACACAAAAGCTCTGTTACAATATCTGGAAGAAACTGGTTGGAGCTGCTGGCTTCTATAAAATCTGGATCCTTGAGTTCACAAAAACAATGCAGCCCCTCAGAGCACCCAGTGACCTACCTGTACAAATACTTGAATCCAGAGCCAAGGGCTGCCTCCCCCATTGCCTCCATGCTGTAATAGCCACTGTCCTTCTGATCAGGAAAGCTGACAAGCTCACCTTAGGCCAAGACCTTACTGTCTGGGTGTCACACGCTGTACTGGACTTCCTCAATAACTATGAAATAAACACCCTGACAGATGCTGAATATACCCTGTTTATGGATAAAAGTAGCTCTGTTAGGAATGGAGTCTCACAAGCTAGATATTCTGTGGTCATCTTAGACAAAGCTATTTTGGCCAAAGCTCTCCTGCTACTACTGCTCCCTGCTGCTGTTTGGAAACCTTCCACCAATGCAAAATAATTTGATCCAGAGACCTAAGCCCCCTCTAGGGATCTAACTGGCTGAAACATCAACCACAGCCAGAGAAACTTTACCCAGTACTCCCAGAAGTTCAGAGCCAGACCTGCCCACCCTCATTTGTTCTGTAAGCTCAAGCTGTAGTGCTGCATCCATACCCCTGCAGCCAGCTCAGGCTTCAGCATCTGTGTCACTAGCCCCAACCTCCCATTCCCTACTCACACAGAGAAGACAACAGAAGTTTATAGGGTTCCACTGCAGAAAAGTCATCCCTAGATATGGCCTACCCTTGACCACTGGCAGCGACAACAGGCCTGCATTTATAACAGAGATAACTAAATAGAAACTACATACAGCATACCGGTCACATGCTCCAAAAAAGTTGACAAAACAACCCTATAGCAACAGCTTGTAACTAGCTCCATAAAAGTTTAGCTAAAAGACCAGCTATAACTGTAGACACTCCTGCACACACATATAACCCAGGTGCATATTAACAACTTCTACAAGTTTCAGAAATCCACCCTTAGATCCACTGGAGAATTTACCCGGACCAGACATCTGACTCTTAAGAGACAGTGCACTCAAAGCCCAGATGCTGACCAGTCCACACATGGCTGAAGCCTGAGGACACTGTTCAGAGGATTGCTCTAGACCTCAGTACAGGATTCCCCTTGATTTTTGTGCCTTTTCAGGCTGCTTACCCCAGTCCTTGCTTCCCCACACTCCTGCAAGCTATACTTTTTGCCTTCACTCTATGGACAGTTAATCAAACACTTGACTAAGATTTGATGAGCATCCAAGGCACATTGGACACTCTCCTAGATCAGATTAACTCCCTCACTGCCTTGCCAGAGTAATGTTACAGAACAGACAGGCCTAAATTATGTCTATTCCTAAAAACAACTTAGGAAAAAATTCTGTAGTAAGACAATTCTAGAGACCTTGACTAGGGCCCATCCTAGGATCACTGACAACCCTAGTGTTACTGCTTCAAGTTGGGCCTTGTCTTAGAAGATCACATATAACATGCCCGGCAAAGGTTTGCCAGGGAAACTAAAAGAGGAGGAAAATGTAGCAGAAGATGCCCCCGCCAACCAATGAATGTACTTCAGTGTGTTAGTTTCCCAGTAACAGTTTCAGTTACAGTTCCTGTTACTTTTGTTTCTTGGAAACGGCTGGTCCCTGGGATGCACAGCTGGTCCCTGGGATGCACAGCTGGTCACTGGGATGCACACTGTAAGAACCAGTCCCCAGCTGACAACCCACTCTGCCTCTGTTCTTCTGCTTGCTTATCCCATGTAAACGCTAGACCACCAGAGAGCAGGGCTTGATATTCTGGGAATGATCCCGATCCATGCCCGCTGATGTAAATAAATCTGCCTCCAGTCCCAGGTGTCATTTCAGTGTTTCTGCATGCCACTGCAGTAGCACTGTGGCATCCAGTGAAGCAATACAAGCGAAGCCTTAGAATAATACACAGATTTCTGGGCATGGTGGTGCACACCTGTAATTCCAGTGCTCTGGGAGGCTGAGGCAGGAAGATTCAAAGTTTGAGCCCAGCTTGAGCAACTTAGTCACTTAATGAGACCCTGTCTCAAAATAATAAATAAATAAATAAGAAGAAACTGGGGATATAGCTCAGCATGAAGTCCCTGGGTTTGATCCCTGGTGCTGAAAAAACAAAAACACACTAAAAAGAATAAGGTACAGAGTGACCTGTGTGCACCTGACATGTTAACCATCTCTCTTTCCTGGGCTGACTACCAGATCCCACCAGCCCTTGGGGTGCAATGCATGCTGGGCAAGTCCATATCTGGCTCCACCTTCAGCTCAGGCCAATCAAATGCTGCCTGCTCTATGTGGTTCCACATTTACCCACACAGCATCTACGGCTGCTTTTCAGTACCTCGGCAGAATCAAGCAGCAGTGATGGTGAGTGTATGGTCTGTGGTACTGAAAATATTCACTATCTAGGCCTTTGAAGAACACCTTTGCTGACCCCTGCATCCATCATGACCTCCCAGAGACAAGAACCGAGAGCTCTCTGACACCGGCCACCGCAGAGCCTCGTCAGGGACTCATCCTAGCACCAGGCATATCGTAACCACTGTGACTTCCTCAGGTCAGCGTCAGAGCATGGTGTGGGGAGGGCCGGCTCCTGACCTCGTTCTCCTTTCTCGCCACTCACTCCGTCCTTCCCTGGGCCACCGGGATGGCCTGGTTCTCCTGCGGGAAAGCAGAACACAGACAAGAGTTGAGATTCCAGCCCCAAAGTTCCTGGCCGCAAGTGTCCACGGTGCTGCTTGTTGGAGAGGCCCAGGTGACCCAGCACGGTGGGCACACCAGGCCCCACACCAGTGCGATGGAGAGGGGCAGATGGGAGCCAGTGTGCAAGATGAGTGTGCAAGATGAGTGAGTTACTAAATGAGTTCCCAAACGCACAGCTGTAGGATGTGCCAGCAGCGCAGGCTGAGAAAGCAGTGTGTGTATCAGAGACACTGATGGCGCGATGGCGCATCCCTGCTGCACGGGGGTGGGGAAGAGAGGCGCTGGCTCCTGTCCTTCAGTCTCTGTCACGCTGTGGAGAGGCGGGAGAAGGCTCAGTAGCCTCCCATGTAAACACAGACAGCATAGCCTGTGACACCAGGGTGGGAGGGAGGGTTCTTAAAGGATGCCCCTGGTGCCCCAGAGTTGTGGCAGATGTCATTGATCAAGCTGGCATGGGGGACAAGGGACCATCCAGAAAGTGAGGGTTTGTGGGCTCTGCACCAGCACTGATGCTTGCAGCAGGCTGCCCTGGGCCACTGTGGCTTGTGCCTGGCAGTAGGATAGACTGGGGGGACATCTAGACATAATCCATGGCAGCAGGAGCACTCACAAGGCCACAGTCCACCCCAGGCTCTGGACTGTGCTCCCAAAGCAGTAGACAGCCCTGTGACCTGACTGTGAGGGGCATCGGCAGTGGGCCGGGTCCCGGGATTGGAGGGACAAGGCGGGCTCACGCAGTCCTGGTGCCCGGCCTCCTGACAAAAGCCCTCCAGCGCATGCTCCAACCAGCCACGGTCCTGGGAGGCCTCCAGGAAAGAATCAGCCCCCAGCAACTCCCGCCGTCCCCTCTCACTTCCTCCCACACTGGCCTAGAAGCAGACATCTTCCTCCTCTGGCTTCTTTCTGGCTTCCCTGCTTCATTCTCAGTTTGTCTAAAGTCCTGTCTTCCAAATTCTGATGGCCATACAACCCCAAATAGCAAGGCATGAACATGGACTCCAAACAGTGTATGTACTTTTATGTATCGGAATTATGACCAGCACTGTGCTAAACATGTGTTTATCACACAGTATACACACAAAAGCATTTAGAAGGGTCAGATAAAGATGAAGTGAAGTTTTAAATTAAGTGATGAGATTGATAGCCTTGTAAGAAACATTATAAACTAGATGTGGTGGTGCACATCTGTGATCCCAGCGCTCGGGAGGCTGAGGCAGGAGGATCACTGCAAGTTCGAGGCCAGCCTGGGATACGTAGTGAGTTCAAGGCCAGCAAGACCCTGTCACACACCCTCCAAAAAGAAGTAATTTTATATATAATACATATGAGGTACCTGGGGAATATATGTGAAACATTTAAGGGAGAGGTAGAGACATATGGCAGTAGGTATGAGTATTTTTTCTTATTTACCCATTTAGCACTCATTTATCTCCTCTGTATGTATAAAATATTGTATAATAAAATTTTTTTAAAAATTCAGTCCCCATATATTCAGAAATAAAATATACAAACACACCATTGTGGTCCCAGCAAGGAGTGGACTTGATTTAATTGAGACTGAGGTTTTGCTATTAACTGGAGTGGACTTCTCGCTGGACCCAAGGCGGGTTGATGAACTTCCTGCACAGACTCACAGGGCAGACGTGCAAGCCAGGGGCAGGAGAGCAACAAAGCTGCCCCAGAAGCCCTCAGCTCATCCAGCCCACTTCATGAACCACTGGGCAACCAAATGCCAATTATAGTATCTTTTAAACTATCGGCAGGAGTTTTAATACATATTTTCCTGCACTGGGATGAATAGATTCCTCTGCACGAATCTTGGGTATGTAAAACTAGACTCAAGGCCAGGGCTCAGGATTAACGCTCCATTCAGAAACTGAGTGTATTGTAGCAGGAAATGCCCCCCTCCGGCCAGTGTACTTCCAACTGTCCAGGTAACAGTTCCTGTTACAGTTCCTGTTACTTCTGTTTCTTAGGAACGGCTGATCACTGTGATGCACGGCTGGTTGCTATGATGCACATTGTAAGAACCCATCAAAGACAGCCAGATACTCTACTTCTTGCCTGCAAACCCCATAAGAACCTCCCTTCCTGAGCCTTCGAGGCCTGACATTATTATAAGGATTAGTTCCTTGTCAGTACCTGTCCCACCTTAAGTAAATCTGCCTGCAAATCCAGGTGATGTTTTAGGTGTCTCAGCTTGCCTTGCATATCAGTCGGTGCTATGTAAACTACAAGCTTTCTTTGCTTTTGAAAGTCGCCCTCAAGAGGCTGGATCTGTTCTTCAGATCCCTGAACACTGGGGCAGAGGCCTAGTAACATGGGTGTTATGGATTGTGTTTAGATGTCCCTTCAAAGCCTCATGCAGTCATGGGGGGCAGGCTTTTTCAGAAGTAGCTGAACCTAGGGTTTGTGACTGATTCATAGTGCAGTGGTGGGATTAAGAGTGCTGGGATTAAGGCTGGGTGATCGCGGGATCACTTCACTGACTGGATTGGCACCGCCCTAATCCCAGGAGCCTGGATAAAAGAAAAGGGGCAGAAAGAGGTTTGATGCCCCTTTTGCTCTTGTTGCTTTTGCTGTCTTCTACCACCATGAATGGTTGCCCCTCTGCCATGAGCCGTCCTTGCCTTGGAGCCAGCTGATTACAGATTGACACCTCCACAAACTATGAGCTAAATAAACCTTTCCTTCCTTAATTTTGGGCATCGGGTATTTCGTACCAGCAACGAGCAAAAAGTAATTAAGACAATGGGTCACCGATGCCTGAGGGACAGTAGCAGCTGTGTGACTTCATGCTGTCGCTCGTCTTTATCTCTGTCACCTGCCACACAAGGCCTGACTTTCACCTGCGCTGCCACCTGTGCTCTTTGCCAAATACCTGCTGCCATGTCTGGAGTTTCACCTTTCACAGGTTCTGTTAGAGTCGACTGTGGTCCTGAATCATTCACACGGGAAATTCCAAAACTAAGCAGTGTGTTAGCTGTTGCTGCTGGACTGGCCTTGAACTCCTGGGCTCAAGCCACCGGCCTCAGCCTCCAGAGTAGCTGGGACGCTAGGCCCAGCGCAAGATGCATGCCAGTCTGAAAACTCTGGTGCAGTCCCATGCCTCCAACTCAGTCTGGCTCAGGACACAACTTGTCCCTTCGTGCAGTGTGTCACTTAGTAGCCATCTCCGTTACTAGACTGATGAGCACAGTATCCTGGTACCTATGTTCAAGTAACCCATGTTTTTCTTAACAGCAGCCCCAAGGTGTAAGCTTAGTGACTGGCAATTTTATTATAGGCAGTGTTAGAATTGTTCTATTTCATCATAAGCTATTATTGTTGATCTCTTACTATTCTAATGTATATATTCAACTTCTTCTAGGTGTGTATGTGTGTATAGGAACAAACACTGTACGTGTAGGGTTTTGTCTTTATCGGCCTCAAGTTGCTGAAGACCCATCACACCTGTGGCCGAGGCAGGAGGATTACTGACATCCTCTGCAGCCGAAGACGCCCCGCGGCATCAGAGATGATGGCTAACAAACGGGTGTCTCCAGTAGACGAGCCCGCTGAGGACGGCACCCTGCCAGCCTGGTGCTCCACGCGCGCCAGCACTTCACAGACTCTGTGGGTGGCTGCAGGGTGCGGGAGGGTGGGGGATGTGGGCTCAGCGGACGCGCGGCTGCCACACAGGTGGCGAAGGAGTGGGTGAGCAGGAAGAGGCAAGGCGACGGGAGAAGGCGGCAGAGAGCTGCCAGCGGCCGAGTACCTGCGTCCCCTTTGTCCCCCTTCGCTCCGTCGCGTCCGTCTCTGCCGGGCAGACCGTTGTGGCCGGGGCTCCCGGGGATGCCAGAGGGCCCTTGCCTGCACATCTCTTGAGAGCTCACGGCCCCTGCGCAGACTCCCAGGGCAAGCAGCAGCCACCAGGTCCGCATGGTCCGGTGCCCACGGCTCAACTGAGAGAGAGAGAGAGAGAAACCCTGGCTACCGGGCCCTGGGCACAGCTCTGCCCGTGCAGTGGGACGGGCCACACCTGGGCCGCCTGGGACAGCCGCCAGGGAAGGTGCGGGCAGGAGCTGGCTGCTGGGCACACTGGCTACCAACAGTGGGAGTGGGGGCTGTCCTTGGAGTGGACAGGTGGTTAGGACCGCTCTTCAGCGGGGACAACAACCCAGGGAGCCGAGTTTGCAGTCGGGACGCTCTCACTGATGACTTCACTCTGGGCAAACCACTTTTTAAAACGTTAGTTTCTCAGGCTGTACCTGCGGTAATCATCCTTGTGTGGAGTTGGCAGTGCGTCCGCACACCCCACCCGTCTTCAGCCCGATCCCGCCCTCCTGGCCGCCTCCCCCGCCCCGTCCTCGCCTTCCCCTTGACAACGGTCTCTCTCCGCTTCCTGTTACCCGCCTTGTAGTCTGCTCTTTGTTTTTACCATGGGTTTCTCGTACAGGAGAAACCACGTGATATTTAAGCTTGAGGGTCTAGTTTATTTCACGTAACATTTTGGTCTCAAGGTCACGGATGGCTCAGTTTCATCTGTCTTCATGGTGGAGCTGAACTGCATTGTGTGCAGACTACTTTTTTGAGCAGAGAAGGTAAAGAAGAGCAGGTGAAGACAAATGTGACCCCAGTGTACATGAAAAAGAACTTTAGAAACAATAAAGCAAACAGAGAGTCACGATCTGGTCCAACAACCGCATTTCTGGGAATAGACCAGCAAGAACGGAAGGCAGCAGTTTGAGCCTAGTGCCCTAGAGCAAAGCAGCACTGTGCATAATGGCTGGGAGGCAAAAGCAACCCACGTCTCCATCGGCAGATGAATGCACAGGCGAAACACGGGGTGCATATATGACGGGATCGGATGCGGATTCATGAAGGAAATCCTCATGCATGGTCCTACAGATGCACCTCGAGGACATTATGCGGTGCCAGACGCCAGCCCCAAGAAGACAGCGCCGCGTCCTTCCTTTCCCAAGTGTGCGAGGTGCTGCAGCGACACACACACACAGGAAGTGGGACAGCGGCTGCCGCGGGCCGAGGGCAGTGGCGGGAGGCTCTTGTTTAGGAGGCGCAGGGTTTCAGTCTGGGAGGATGAAAGAGTTCTGCAGAGGGAGGGTGGTGACGGATGTGCAGTACCCGAATGTGCTTACTGTCACTGACCTGTGAGCTTCGAGTGGTTACACTTTATGTTATGTATATTTTACAATAAAAATTGAATTAAAAACATAATACAGCATGTCAAGCAGTCCTAATGGTATTACGTGTATTCCTTGACTTAAGGTCTTGTTATGGGAGGTCACTGTGGAGAGGGGTGTGGTGTACACACACACACACACACACACACACACGCACACGATCACACAGTTAGGGAGAAGTGCATTTTTAAGTCCTTTCCTCTATACACACCGGCCCCTCTCAGGTTTTTGGTTTGCTTTTCAACCTTATCAGGCACTGAGAAGCTGAAAAGAGAACCAGGCACAGCGCTTCCTCAGCAGGGAGCTGGCTGCGTGCCTGCGGGGACGTGAGGACCAGGTCAAAGCCCCCAGGAAGGTTCACGGAGCTCCCTGTCCCAGGAGTCTTCACGGCCCCTGCCACAGCAGGGCTTTGTATTGTATGACATAAATGTAGGAGCAGAACTACGGCTCCCACCTGGCTCCACTCCCCACAGGACTTTATTCCCAGAGCCCACCCTCCAACTTGGCCCAGCAGGTCAAACAAGCATTTATCAAATGCAATGAACACATCAGGGTAGATATTTTCAGCCTTAAAAAAAAAAAGAAAGCAAGCAAAATAAATGCGCAGCCCACCCCTCACGTGTGCTGCCAGCCATGGGGTTCTGTCCAACCTTTCAAGAATGTAAAAAGTAAATGAGGTCCCTAGCTGTGACTCAGTAATTCCATCTCTGAAATTCTTCAAAATAATCCAAGGTTTGTGTGCCTAATAAAAGATGACTGCAGACACACAGCATAGTGTGTAGTGATAGGGGCTCACATGTAATCACTGAAATTATTACGAACGTCAGCTGGAATGTGTAAAAGATGTCTACGGCAGGAATTTAAAAAGTAGAGTAACTGTCCTGCACATTGCATATGTACCTATGTATGTGGGCAAAAACTAGAAGTAAACATACACAAGTGAATGCAGTCTCTTTAGAATGGTGGACTGAGGAGAGGTTTTCTAGTTTAAGTAGCACTATACACATATTTCTATATATTCTTTTTGTTTTAAAAAAACACCAAAACTACACTCTGAATCTGAAGGACTACGGTGATATCTTGTGGAAGCTTTTAAATATCACAGGGTGAGGCCAGGCGTGGTGGTGCACACTTGTAATCCCAGCACTCGGGAGGCTGAGGCAGGAGGATCATTGCAAGTTTGAGACCAGCCTGGGCTACAGAGTGAAGTCAAGGCCAGCCTGAACTGCATAGGGAGACCCTGTCTCAAAAAGACAAAAAAGTATCACAGAATGCAGCTCAGTGCAGAGTATTTTGGGAGAAGGAAATGCAGATGTTTCCCATTGAAGTCACAAACACCCATTTCAGGAAATTAAGTCGGGTTTTCTGATAGCCAAAGCCATAAATAATCTCCATCTGCCTCTTTAATTTACCTCATAAGTGATGTAGTAATCAAATCTAAGCTTACCAGCCCACCTTGGTTTGGGGTTGTACAGTCTGCCTTTCAGCTTTTCAAAATGTACAAGTGTGCAAGGTATTCCAGCGATGAAAACATCACAAAACCATCAAGGTGTCAAGTCTGGATAAATTCCACATTGTTTTCCAGCTAGCAAGGAGCTAACTAACACTCGTTCCCTTCTGCGATGCTTCACTATTTCTGGTATTTGATGAAGGCAGAATGTCTATCTTGCTTATGTCCCGTGCTTAACATACAGACAACCTTCAGCAAATGATTTTCATTGAAAACAGAAGTGAAAAATGTTGTGGTCCTATCTATAATAAGAACATTTAGAGCATGGGCTGCACTTTCACTAGAATGCGGGAAGGTGCACGTGAGGAACGCGGCAGAAAGTCTATCAGTACTATTTTGAGAGAGCAAAATTGACCAAAGCTATGAGCCGAATGCTCAGTTCCATGAGTTCAACCACAGTGGCTGTCCTCAACCTTGCGTTCTTGTGTCAAGGCCCTGGGGCTGGGGCCCTTTGGAGTCCCACTTTCCCCCGGTGAGTAGCAAGGGCTCCCCACCCCACCTGGCCTGTGTCTTCCCTCCTTCCCGGATTACTGCCCCGACCCCTCTGGGTCTATGCCTCTTCCTTAGACTCGGGGTCACTTCAGAGCCCCCTCGGCTGGGGTAGGGCTTTTTGAAAGTAACTATCCCACCTTCCCACCTCCTCGTTTCCAGTAGCTTACAGTCAGGTGTTTGCTGAATGAATGAAACGATACCTAGGTCAGCTTGTGCATCCCCTGCAGACTGACGAGTCTGTCAGATCAGGTCCCTGTCTTGGGTGGACATCGCTGCTCATCTGCGAGACCCTTCCCCCTTCATCCAGGACACACAAGTTTAGCAGCGTACCCGACACACAAGGCAGGCTGCGACCCCCAGCCTCCCTTGCACCCTGGCTGTGACCACAAAGCCAGATTCGGCCTGTGGGAACAAGAAACACGTGTGTGCAACTGTGGACTGGACCTTAAGGGAAGGGTGTGCCCTGGGCCCTTCCCCTCTTCCTGTGACCAGGTTGGGACGGCTCCAGGTTCTGCTCTGGGATGACCCCAGAGGCCAGTTCCCACCTACTGGCCCAGCTTTGATAGGAAAGCCTGGAGGAAACACACCTCTAACGGAGTGTTTAAGCTCTGCTATTCAGGGTCGTGGTGACACAAAACTGAGCCCATGTCTTGAGTAATACATGGCACCTGCTGCCCGCGGGGTGGCCTCCAGTGAGAAGCGTGGAAGGCCTCCGTCTCCGCAGTCAGCTGGCCCCAGGGCGCACAGCCCCTCAGGTGTGGCACTGCCTCGCACAGTGAGCCAACCGGTCCGAGCGCAGAGGGCAGACGCAGCCACACTGCCAAGGGCTGCGGCCTCCTCACCTGACCTTCTGACTTGGTCACACTGTGGATTTCTTGGGAGTTACTGGTTTTTAGTCCCGAAAGCTTCTGGGTTGATTCCCCCGGGCTTTACCTATATTTCACTGTCTTTATTGAATCTTTTGATAAAGGATCACCCAGTGTCCCTCCTGATAAAATCTTCTCTTATCACAGCCATGGTTAAGGATTTACACCTTCAAGATTGTTACCTCCCCAACCACTAACATTGAATACAGATCTGTCAGAAAGCAGCTCGGCTCCCTTGTGGCTAAAGTGTCAGGGATCAACTACCGGCTCAACCTCCCATCCACGTGGGACAGCTTCAGAATCCAGCACCTCCAAGCTGCTTTTCTTGAGCATCTATTCTTCCACGTGCTTTATGCATTGTGTGCTTTGTGCATTTGTTCTTCATCAGGAGACATTTTATGACACTGTATCAAGCAGCACAGTCACAAGCAGAAAGATGTGCACATTAAAATTTGTGCAAGATAGCTTATAATCTCTAGAAAGCTCTAAAGCAAGGTCTGCCTTCTTGTGATCTAGTCTACGGTTTTCATCCCTCTTCCCAGCCGGTTTGCAGTTTTGCCAAAAGAACGCCAAGTCTGTTTTTCTCTCCTGTTCAGCCTCTTCCTCAAGAGTGAATTCTGGAAGAAACATACTCCTGTTCCTACCCGAAACTCTTTTAAAGACGTCTGATTATTTTGCAAATAGTGAAGCAAGGTTATCCAACACCGACACCGTGACGCTGTTTCAGGACCCACACGCGTTAAGTGAACCCTAAGAAGCCTTTTCCCAGTGCACTTACCTGAACCCCAGGGCGGCTGGCCGGACCCTGTGCCGTGTAAGCCAGGAGCAGGGCACACTGAAAATCGTGCCTTCCTGCCCTACGACTCCCTCAAGGATACAACTGCAAAACAGCAGGAAGGGGAGGGAGCAGAGGAAGGCGCAGCTGTCTTGGAAGAGTTTCAAAAGTCACGGCGACACTTGGGTCAGGTAGCCTCTTTCACCAGCAGCATGAAGAGCAGAACACTTCTGCTTTTTCTGCCCTTTTTTTTGATGAAATGAGGGACCGCGAGGTGGAAGAAGGTATCCCCACCTGTTTCCAGGTCTCCTTTGGATCCCGGGTCGTCAGGATCAGCGTCGTCTAACCAGATCTCAAGTGTCTACGTAATTCCTCTGGACTCAGGCACCTGGGTGGGTCAAGATCCATCCCCGCACATCTTCCCACTGAGAAAAACACCACACAACCTTCTCTGATGTCACAAACCATTCCTTACTTTTCCTGAGAAGCATCTACTACTCTCTGTCTGAACACCGTGTGAAGGGGACAAAGGGGCCCTCTTCCTGGGAGGCGCGGGGGCTCGACTGCAGAGGCCACACGGGAGGTGGGATGTGCAGGCGGCAGGGCCGGGCAGCCTCACCCCAGCCAGGCCACAACCCCGAGCCATGCCTCCCGGCGCCTCCACGTCTCCCCCGGTACGGCGGGCAAACCGACACCAGCTTCCCAGTGGTGCTGGACCTGAGCCCCCACAGCACGGGCCAGCGGCCCTCTGGTCCCCGTCTCCAGGGCCCTCTGCGTACGGCCTGCTGTGGCCCCTCCACCTGTCCTTCCCGCCTGACCTCCAGGGTCCACGCTCTCGTCACCCATGAGGTGGGCCTGACTCGTCTCAGCACACCACCCTCTTCCGTTTTGGTTTCGGCACCCCCCCTTTGCCCCCACAGGATGGGGTCACCAGTGTGTCCCCACCTTGCCCGAGGTTGCCGGGGTTGCCAAGCGGCCTCCCACTCTCCCGGTCTGCCCCCCGCCTGGACACTGCTCCCAGACCACTACCCTCCCTCTCCAGTACCTGCTGTCCAGCTCCTGGAGCCAAATTCAGCTGTAGCCCACCTCAATCACTTTGGTCACGTCAGGAAATCCCCAGAGCCACCGTGGGCCCCGTGAGCTGCTGCTCACCTTCCTGGGGCCTCATGCAACTTGTCACACTTCAATTCCAGCCACACGGGGACAATGGGGCCCCAGCTCTCACCCTGCTTAGCTGGCTAACCATGGGCTCCTCGGGTCCCTGTGAAGCCCACTGGCCTGGATACCCGTCAGGCAAGGGACTTTCTCTGACAGCACAGTGTGACTGCTGCCAGCTCTGGGGCTGCCCAGTTCATGCCGAGTTCTGCAACGCCGTCTTTCTCTGTGACCACATACTCCGCTGGAGGACTCACACACCTCACCCCGACCTTTCCAGCGTGCAGAAGGCGCCCTTAGCTCGTCTCCCAACGCTTCCGGAAGACGCCCTGCCCACGGGCGGTCTTCATTCCTGTGTGTGGCACTGTCTTGGCCATGCACGTTCTCAGTGCTGTCACCCACCGCCCACCCAAGCAGAGCCTCCCTCGTGCAGCCCAAGGAGGTCCAGCGGGTCACTCTGGGAGCAGGTACTCATCAGGAGAAAACAAACGAACAGCCAGAGTTGCCTTGGCAACTTCTTCCCAGGAACCCTTTTCTCATTAGTCGCAACAAACAATGAGCTATTTACTTGGGTTTTCTGAGCTGTTAATCAGAGAAGGAAATTCTTATCCAACCCACGCCCAAAGGGTACAGGAGCCTAGGGCCAGAGCCACACACCCTGCTGCCGAGTCACAAGGGCACCTCAGGTCACCCGCCCGTCATCACCTGTGCTAACACCTGCTACTATAAACTAGCAGGTCCAGGACTGGGGCTGCAGCTACGCAAATGCATTACTAGAAATTTATTGCAAATTAATTTTAATATACAGGTACAAAACAAATATAGATTCACAGCATTTACAAGAAATCATTCAAATGACATTGTAAATAATTTTTTTTTTTTTTGTACAAAAAAAGCATTCAACAAAAATACATATGAAGTTACAGCAATCTTATGGACCGTACTTCAGCTGAGAAAGCCAAGCTCACAAGTGTCACCTGATTTACACAGATGACATCACCTTTATGGGCACAAGTTAAAAGGTTACCAAAAGCTTTGCACGGTAGATGAGAAACCACACTGGGTGCTAATACAACCCCCCTAAAGAACAATTATTAAATTACAGGATCATTCAAAGTGTTTTCTCAATACAAATGTTAACGTCTATGACCTCACTAAAAGCAGCAGTGCAAAGTATGCTGGAGCCAAGTAAGCTGACATAAAATACGGAAGCGTTTTCTTTTTTTCCTCCAAGACCAGCTGGAAGAAAGTTTCCACTTATTTTTTCCCAAAGTCTTTTGAACTCCAAGTTCACTGCACCCTGAAAACAAATAGCATTGGCCAAGTACATTTCAACAGAGAGCTGTTTGTAGGTTAAGTGTATTATATGGGAAACTTTGTTTGTTTAACCCAGAAGCGAGTCCAGCGTGCAAACCACCAGAAAGCCCTTGATGCATCCTTGCTGGCACGGTCCGCTGAGGGACACTCCTCTCCGCAATGGAACAATGAACAGAAACCCCGCCCTCAGCCTGGGCAATCCGACGCCCTAGTCCATCGAGGAAACACAGCTGAGGCATGTCCGTAACTCGGTCATGCAGAGATTTCTACCCGGCAGGCTGCTGGCTCCCCGGCACACTTGTACAGATGATTTCTGTTGTGAACTGAATTTCGAGTGAAGTGCACCTTTGCTTTGTGTAAAGACAATGGCGAAGTGCAGTGTGGCACGCAACCTTCATGGAGCGGGTGTAAGAAGGCACAGTATTTACAAATGGCTTTTGATGGTGGCGGCCTATTTTCAGGAATCGAATCAGATGGGCCCGCGACAAAAAGCAGACCTAACGAAAACAAGCCACGTCAAGTGTCCCAGGAAAGCTCGGGCAAACTGCTTGCCACCTCTTTCTAGTGCCAGGGACAGGAACGTTACTTCTCCGCGATTTTTTACACGGGTTTTATGGCTGCTTAGAGCCTGCTCCACAGCTGGCGTACATTCTAGGTTCTGGGCAGAACTGAGATGGTGCTTTTGACCCAAGGCCATTGCAACTGTCTCAACAGAGCTCACAAAATTGCAACCACTGAAGAACAAATGAAATTCATCAAAATGTTATGTCATCTTTTTGTTTGGCCCAGGGGGAGGGCAGGGTGGCAACTCCCAATGGAATTCACACACAATCCCAGTGGAGGGCTCTTCGCTGCTTACTTCCAAGGGGAAGATGCAACTTCTATCAAGCAGGAGCTCTGGCAAACTGAAAAAGAGAACACGAGGACTGCAGTCTGTGCAGAACTCTGGCACCTGGAACCCAAGCCAGACACAGACTTTCACGAATTCAAAACATGTTCTATCCTTCAAAAAAATATGTCAGCAGTTTTCAAAATTGCTTGAAAACCCAAGTAGGATCTACCGAGGACAGGTATTTGATCGACTGATCCTCACACTGCATAAATCTGACTAGAGCAACCCTGGGTCTTGAACTGAGCTTAACAAAAGTATGTCTTTGCGTGCGATTCTCTGTTAGGAAGTCCATGGAGGTAGGTGGGAAGCAGCAGGGCGGGCTCAGCTGGAAAGTACACTCATCTGCTCACGAGGCTGAAAGCAGTTCTTCATTGTCCGTTAGTAAATAATAGCAAATGGAAGTTCTGCGAGGGACTCTCCCGAGTCCTCACTGAACGTGTAACATAAACAAGTAATGCTCTGTACTTCCTTAAAGCAACTTTTTATATTACAGTTTAAAAAAAACTGTTCAAAATTACTGTACAAACGAACAAGTCTATTTAGCAATGAAAAGCATGTTAAGTAGTTTCCAAAATATATCATTACATTTTGTTAGTAAAAACGTCAGTTATATAAATGTAACTGAAACACACACACACACACACACACACACACACACACACACACGGACGCACACACTCTCCTGCTTCTGTACAGAAAGCCACAGCACCACTACTGTCTTAGGGCCTGCGGTGGGCAAGCCCAGAGAGGCCACCCGGGCGCTGTTAGCCCCAGGGCCACGCACCCTGCCGGAAATGCAGCCTCAGTAAGGGCTGCACAGCTGCTCACAGGGGCCTGGAGGGCCACACGATGCCCTGAAGAGGGGTCCAGGATGATGTTTTCTTAATGCATGATGTCACCTCCTTCAGTAACAGTTCTGGATTCAGGGGAAGGGGCTGCAGAGACCCCAGGACAGACCCCACACCTGTGAAGTCAACAGCTTTGTCTCCGACACTGTTACACTTGTTTACTCTCAAGCGTGGGCCTACGAGGAAGAAAAACAGCAAAACAAAACGAAAACCCCTTTGCAAGGCTGGCACAGAAAAGTGAACTTCTTTTGTCCACAAATGTGTAACGCAGGGTCCCCCGGCCAGTGCCCTGAGCAGAGCAAGACCAGAGCCTGTCTTTTCCAGACGCGGTTAGACGGTATCTTTGTCACACTTCACAGTACGGACGAAGGAGAGTACTGTCTGCAGTACCGGCTCGTGTGGCTTCCTTACACAACACCGCTCTCGCTGCGTCTCGGCGTTTTGTTAGGGTCTCTTCCACAGAGAACGACTCTTCAGAAATCTGCTGTGTGCCAGGCTGGCGCAGTCACGTGCTGCTGTCAAGGGCTTCTGTGACAAAGGCGGTTTCGAATTCCCGGGGCGCACACCTGCTCTGCGACTGTAATTTCATTGAGAAAAGCCCCATCTTTGAATTTCCATCAGTGGGGACGTCAGGAACCACTGAGGAGCCCCACGGGACGCTAAGATCTAGGAATGTCCCCAACGGTGTCACGAATGACAGGAAGCGAGCGTTTACGTCACGGCTGTGTGAGCTGCAAGCCCCTCAGTTGTGACAGGAGAACCACAGCACGGGCGCGCTTGTCTCGTCACCCGCGAGGCTCCCGGTGCAGCATGACGGGGGCTCCCAAGTGCCGGCCGCTGGGCGCATCTCAGATGCCGCTTGTGTGTCCTGACCTCCTCCTCCTCCTGGGAAGGCAGCTGGGTCTCAGGAGAGTGGGTCTCCTTCTCTCCTTCACTGATACCCGAAGAGCAGTTCCAGCACCCGGCCCAAGGCAGTCCCTGCACCGCAGGCTGAAGGACGAGGCGGCGCCGCCCTCCCTCGGGTCGGGGGTGCACTCTGGCTCACTTCCGGAAAGGGGCAAGCTTGTGGAAGGTGTGCCAGAAGAGCGAGGGCTTCTGCTTGGGCTCCGCCAGGGCAAAGACCTGCTGCTGGGGGACGCTGGTGGGCACCGTGACGTGGCGCTGGTGCAGCGGGTGCAGGCCCTGGGGCAGAGGGGCGGCGGGGCAGCTGCCGTAGCCTGGCGCAGGAGGAGGAAGACAGAACGTGAGGGTCACGCCGGAACCGCGCAGGGAGCAGCGCCCGGGCTCCGAGTGCGCGCTGTTCCTTGACGTGCACGTGTGCTGCTGGGGACCGAACCTAACGACTCCGGGCTTCCCCGCTTCCTTTACGATGACTAGCGTACGGACAGATTAGGTAGACAGACAGACAGACTGATAGAGGCCGCCCCCAAAGCTTACCTTTGGACTTTCCCTGCCTTGCCTTCTGAGCGTTTAACATGGCGAGCTTCTTCTGGCTTTCTGAGATTTCCATCCCTGCAGTGAGAAAAAAAGTGGTCTCTGTTGAGAGCCCAGGACGAGACTGAAGCCCGAGCCCGCACAGAGTGTCGCCGTGCGCACGAGGCGCGCCGGGGGCGGAAGGCCGCAGGGGCAGGGGCAGGGCAGGCCCGTCTGAAGGGGCCCGCAGCTTCCCCGCAAAGCCAGACACCGCGGGAGGGAAGCCGGGTGCTTCAGTGACAACGCGCAGACTTCCTGGGGGCGGCCACACCTGGGCGAGCACACAGGGCACCCTAAGGACGGCCCTGCAGTCCCAGGCTGGAGGCGAGGGGGCGCAGGGCAGGCGCTCACATCTGCCCCCAGATGTGCGGTGAGCGCCCGAAGGCAGGCACTGCCTCAGGCCTGGGGAGCTGGCCCGTAGTGGACCCCACCTGCCTGGTGTGTCCGGAACCCCCGTCGGGTTCCACCACAGACGGGCAGGGTACCTGCTGCCCACATCTACACTGTGTGAGCTGGGCGGGCACGGGCAGCCTTGGGAACCCTGGGCAACAGCCGCGCTGGCCTCTGTGCCAGCCCTGCCTCAGCGGGACGCGCCCTCCTGGAGGCGGGCACGCACTCCACCTCGGTCAGGCCGGGACCCAGCCCCCGCCCCGGCCACTGCTCCTTCGCACGGCAAACAGCTGCCCCCGGGGGTCCAGAGGCTCTTGCCGGGCTCACACGCAGAACTGAGCGCAGACTTCCCCGGGCGTGCTCAGGCCCGGCTCAGTGGCCGGCTCTGGGTCCGCCCACACGCAGCTGGGCTGCCAGGCGGGCACCCTGCAGGCGAGGGCGGGGCCGGCCCTGGCCCATACTCACTGGCTCTAGCTATCTGTACCCGCTACAGGAAACAGCACCCAGCAGAAGGGCACACAGTGGCATTCCTTCCCCCGATCCCGCTGAGGGGCAGAGTGGAAAATTCCCGTGTAAGAGTCAACACAATTGCAGGGTCTCAGAGCCCAATCATTCCACTGACAAGTGACTCCAGGACTTGCACCAACCAGCGCGCTGTGACAGGGACAACTGGGATTTTGTGGGTGTCATTTGCATTTTAAGCACTGGCCTCTGCACCTATCTGAAAAACCACACACAGGGCAGGGCAATGAGCCTATTCCAACAGGGCCCAATGCCGGCTGCCAGTGGACGGCGGAGCCGCGTTGGCTGTCCTCTTGGTTAAAGGACACCGGGCGCCCAGTGCCCTGGGAGGGGAGGCCCATGTCCTGTCCCTGGAGAAGCCCTCGGAGGACACACACGCTCTGACGGCCAGCTAGCCTGACCTGGGGGCCGAGAGCAAACCCCACTGGCTGCCTCGAGCCGGTGGCCGGTTCCAGGCGGGGCGGAGAAGACGGCCACCTCCTGGTCTCCTGTCTCCCTCAGTCCTCCCCTGTGCCTGGGGATGGGGCCGGGCTGCTCCTCCACGGTCTGGGCTGGCTCAGGGTACAGACACCAGTATTTCCTTTATTTTGTTTTGTTTTGTTTTGTCTTGGAGACAGGGTCTTGCTGTGTAATCCAGATTGGCCTTGAACTCACTATGTAGCTCAAGCTGCCCTCGAATTCACGGTGATCCCCCTGCCTCAGCCTCTGGAGCACTGGATTACAGGGGTGCCCCACGACGCCTGGCGAGACCAGAATTTCTCCTCCCTCTTGTCCATGAGGCCCCGGGCCCTGCTGCGCTGACACCTACCTTGAGGTCTGTGCTTACAGCCCTACTGTGGGGCGTGGGGCGTGGAGCTCGGGCTTCGGGACGTGGGTGCTGCCACTGTGTGTGTGCATGGCAGCTTCAGTCTCCTAAAGATTCTGCGACACTGGCAGGAACATAACGCACCTCGGGGACTGTACCCAAATTCAACACCAAATTTACCTACGCCCCATGCGCACCTTACACATGTAGCCTGTAGGGAGTGTCACCCTGCATTTTTTGCATGCCCACATTGGGACTGGGCCCCGTCTGCCCATGAGCTCAGATGTGGACTTTTCCACCTCTGGCATCACTTTGGTGCTCAGGACGTTTCTGACTTTGGAGCTGCTTTTCCCTGTCTGTTACGGAAGAGGCGCACTGCCGTCCGGTTGGCCTCCTGCCTCGGGCTCCTCAGGGCTGGGGTGACAGCTGTGCAGGCACCGCCATGTCCGGGCCGCACCTGGGACTTGGGTTTTCAGACTGGGGGTGCTCAGGCTGCCCGGGTGTGACCCGGAGAGTGACACTGTTGCCGGTGGTATCTGCTGCAGGGTTGCGAGCTCCATGGATGAGGGTGGGAATCACACAGCTGGGTCTGCACGATGGAGGCGGCCAGGAGGACCGGAAGGGCTCCACAAAGGGGAAGCCGCCACAGTCACCTGCGCTCCTGTGGCCAGGCTCCGTCTCCGCCTGCACGGAACTGGTCTCAGCGCCCCCGGGGCCTGCTGTGAGCGTGGGCCGGCCCGAGGCTCACTTCCCCTCGTGTGGCGGGAGTGCTAGGAGTCACTGTGCCCCGGGGTTCAGGGACCATCTCTAGGAACGTGCAGCAGGGTAACCGCGCAAGGAAACGCTCAGCAATGCTGCCTGCGGGCCTGCACCTGTTCTAGGCTGACACGCGAGGCGAGGAGGACTTAGGGTCTGCAGACCTTTCTCTCCAGCCCAGTGCTGGGGTTCAGCTTGGATGGGGAGGGCAGGGAGCAGACCAGCACACAGGCTGGAAGAGAGGGCAAAGAAGCAGAGGAGCTGAGAGGGGCCCGAGGCCCCAGGACGCTCACCCATCTCCCGGTCCTCTTGCACCTGCCGCCTCTCGTCTGCGCAGGCCTGGAGCCACCTGGCCTTGTCCTCCTGCTTCCGGGCACAGAGCAGGTGCACCTCGTCCGTGCTCCTGCTGAGCAGCTTGAAGGCGTTTCTCACGCTGAGGTTCCAGTCCGGGTCCCGCCCGTCCTCCACGTCCACGACCTCCACCCGGTCCATGTCCACGCGGCCCTTGTAGTACAGCATGTCCCGGCGCAGCAGGTCCTTCTTGCAGGACACCAGCTGGTGGTCGAACAGGAAGAACGTCCTCTGCTGGCTCTTGCCTTGCTTGGTGATGCAGGTCAGCTCTCCGGAGTGGATCAGCTCTGAGCTCCGGTCCAGAATGTTGTGGCCCTGGGAAGATGGAAACACGGTGTAGACACAGCAGGGACCCCGACAGGCTCTTTTGGGTCTTCCTGTGGCTTGACACTGCTCACTGCCGGCCTCACAGCACAGGGGGACAAGGCCCCAGGCCCTCTCCTAACCCAGTTTCCCGGTCTCCTTGCTACACAGTGGGAGGATGTTACAGTGCTTCATTTACCCGAGCGTCGTTCTTCCCACACCTATGCCGAAAGGGTGCTACCTGAATGAAATCCAGCCAAGATCTGCGCCGGCAGCTGGCCCAGGCTGACTGTCCAAGAGGAAGGACATGTGGGGGCTTCACTGCACGGGGACAGAGCGCCACGGCCAGCCTGTGCGTCAGGCATGCGGTGGATCCCGGATAACAACCGGTGTACAGTGCAGAAAACCAAAGGCCAGGTAGCAAACCGCCAGCCACAAACTAGCAAACTTCTGAGGGGAAAATCACCCGTAAATGTCAGAGTCCAGGATGGGAAAGAAAACGGACTTACAGAATTTCCACTGGCTTCACCCAGTGCTACCTTGCAGACTTTGTTTGTAAGATTTTATTCGGTTTTAATCCCGGTCATAAACAGTATTCTTGGGAGTCAAAAAAGGCCGGACTCTGAAATGGTCCTTCTGTCCACCTGCCTGCAGCCACTGTGCCCTGGATTCCTCGCTTACGGAATGAGGGCGTGAGGCCCAGGGACCTCTGAGGGCCAGGCATGCTCCAGTGGCCGGCCACGTGCTTGAAATATAAGCATTTCTCTGCAACTCTCACTGCTCTAATCTACTTCGTTACAGTTCCGACCTCTCACTCCAAACTCCGAATCCTCTGAGCGTCAGGTCTGCCCTGCAGTGGGCGCAGGACCACGTCCCTGTTTGCACCAGCACAGGGGTGCTTGCCTGTGGTCGGGGAAGGAGGCAGAAGCGGTACAAACCGGGGCAACTCAGCGGGGCCCTGTCTCAAGAATTAAAAAGATCTGGGGATGCAGCTAAGTTTGAAGGCCCTGAGTTCAGGCCCCATACTGGAAAAAGGTTTACTTAGTCCAAAAACCCAGTATGAAGCTGGGTGTGGTGGTGCACACCTGTGATCTCAGCACTCTGGAGGCTGAAGCAGCAGGATCACAGAGAGTCTAAGGCCAGACGGGGCTATACAGTGAGTTCAGAGCCAGCCTGAACTACACGGCCCAAAAAATCAACAGCAAAGCAAAGCAAACCAAACTAACGACAAGGCATTAGCTTGTTCTTAGCTACCCCTCGGCAACAGCCCAAATGTCCACCAGCTGATGAATGGATCAGGAAGAGGCGGGCTTTTCATGTAATGGAGCACTGCGCTGCCACAAAGGGCGAGCCTGGGATGCTTCTAGGTACACTGGATGTGCTTGGGGCCACGCTCAAGGGACACGAGAGGGACATGAACGTCACACCGCCTCCCCGGTGTGAGGACTGGAACTTCAAGTAAGGCCCACAATGTGTAATAGTTATCGGGAACGGGAAGAAAACGTTCAAATAAGCAAGTGAACAATGGGGGCAGGAAGGCAAGAGGGGACCAAAAAAAAGAGAAAATGAAAAGAAAAATCGAAACCAAACTTTTGTAAATACGGAGGGGGAAGAGAGACTGAAGGGAGGACAGGGGAATGGGAAAAAAGAAACAGCAAGATACACGTATAGGTACGAACTGCCTAGGACGAGTCTTGTCATTATGCATACCTAAAATGTACCAATAAAATTGGAAAAAAAAAAGGCCAGGTGTGGTGGCGCACCCCTGTGATCCCAGCACTGGGGAGGCTGAGGCAGGAGGATCACTGTGAGTTTGAGGCCAGCCTGGGCTACAAAGTGAGTTCAAGGCCAGCCTAAGCTGCATTGTGAGACCCTCTCTCAAAAAAAAAAAAAACAAAAAAAAATAGTGAAAAAATTTTAATAAAAAAATAAACTCAGCCCTGCCACTTTCTAGGTAGATAAGCCTGGGAAAACGACCACCCCTTCTGTGCCCAGCAGCCCATCAGGACACACTCGTGTGCCCCACGGCTGTACACAGCACAGCCCATGCCTCCGGGGAGCGGGTTCTCCAGGTGAGCGGAGACGGAGGCTAAGCAGGGCGCTCATGACGGGGCACCTTCTGGGTGGGGCAGCGAGTAGGGGACCGCTCCACTGAGCAAGATGCCCCAGAACACACAGCCCCCTAACAGGACAGTAAAGGATGTCACCGTGGGGCGAAGCGCACCTGAGTGTGTGTGTGTGTGTGTGTGTGTGCGCGCGTGTGCGCGCGGAGCTCACCTCCCAGCCGACGATGGACACCTGCCACTGCGCAATCTTGTTGATGCTCTCCAGCTTGCGCTTGCGCTCGTTGATGAGACAGGCTACGTTCTTCATGGCCTCGTACGCTGCCTTTATATCGCTGTAATCACTGCAACACAAGGGGTCATTTCGATCACGTAACACACAACTTGTGGTAACACCCTCAGACCCTGCCGCGTCTACGGCTGGTCTAGGCAGAGCAGCATCTCAGCAGCAGCCACTGTGTCCTTTCCTTGTTTCCCTGCGAACAGACTGCAGTCTGCAGAGGCTGGGAGCTGACAGAATGCCATTCTGAATGCTTTGGAACGAGGATGTTTTCATTCCTCTTCCAGATCCCACAATGAATGAAAGCGGTGGCATAAGGAACGAAGCCTTAGTCATGGTGACTATGGCATATTTCTGCTAACATAGAAAGAACAGTTATTATTGCTCTGATTCTGCCGTGACCAGTTTTGCTATATGAAGTACTTTAAAAATCACTATTCATTTCAAGAGTGTCTATACCGAGACTCTCTGTTCACGCTGCTCGGGAAGGGGCACAAGAGGACAGGAACCACACGGTCTGAAGTGGGGAGCTATATCTCTGCTACGAGGTCATCTGCCTTCCCAACAGCCCTTCATTTCTAGGGCTTTAGGGACACCGCAGTCAAATTAAAGTAACAAGTTCTCCCCAAGATGGGTGCAGTGGTGCAGGCCTGTAATCCTAGCACTCAGGAGGCCGAGACAGGAGGATCACTGTGAACTTGAGGCCAGCCTGGGCTACATAGTGAGTTCAAGGCCAATGTGAAGTGAATAAGCAAGACCCTGTCTCAAAAAAAAAAAAAAAAAAAAAGAAAAAATAAATTCCCCAGCAGGCCTCTGGCCTCACAAATTTTGAAAAAACTGAAACCGTCATTCTTATCCACACACAGGTTAGAACACAGTGTCTGAAAGTGTTTTGCTCAGCATTAGTAATCGGGGGAGATGGACGCCAGTCATCCGGCTTACAACAGGCTAACGTTTTACTTTCTTTTTCTGTTTTGTGTTTTTGGTTTTTTTCCAGTACCGGGAATTGAACTCACGACCTCGCACTTGCCAGGCAGGCGCTGTGCCGCTGAGCTCAATCCCCAGCCCCCATGTTTTACTTTCCTATAGCGACACGTGGGACAGGGGCATGCAGAGGTGGGTGGCCGCAATCAAAACCTTCCTGCACAGGTGGAGGCGGGCTTGGAAGCGGATGTTGGGGTCTGGCTGCCACATACAGCTGTCCCTGGCTCCTGGGGGGCCCCCGCATGGCTGCACCTAGCAGACCCTGATGTCTTTAGATGACAGCTTCCTCACAGAGAAGCAGAACAGAAAGGAAATGATACATGGGGAATGTCTACAAAAATGTCTACAAAAATGATACATGGGGAATGGCTCAGAATAATGGAAGCAAAAACCTGCAGGAGCCTCCAGCTATGAAGAAAAAGCAAAATAAGACTTTTGGTATGATCCTAAAAATGAGAAGAATGTAAGGCTTTTTGACATTTTTGTTGTTTTATGTAAGGCAAGGAAATGCGCCTTTTGTCATTTCCTTTAAAATTATTATTAGCTTATGAAATAGCCAAAATCTGCACGGTGCTCACAGCAAACAATGGCCCACAGAGGAAAATCACCGTCAAGCGGCGTACGGCGCTCTGGCTGCCACGCTCCGTCCTGGAGCGCGCTACACCGCCCGAATCGCTCAGGAGTCCCCTCTGACGTTCTCCACAGGCCCAGCTCACGGGCCTCGCTGCCGGGAAGCCCTGACCCACCGAGGCGCAAGCTGGCGGGAACATGGCATTCTCTTTTGTTTTTCCTCTGGCTCCTTAGCGTGATTCTTTTAAAAAAATGTCTACAAAAATTTTGACTTCTCTAATTTTTTCCACAGAATGTTTTCTGATTTTTCTATCAGAGACACGGAGGCAGAGAAGGACAGAGAAAGGAAGGAAGGAAAGAAGGAAGGAAAGAAGGGAGGGGAGGAGGAAGGAAGGGAGGGAGGGAGGGAGAACGGGGAGGAGGCGAGCGCGAGCTTTTCCTCCCATCTGTTGCAGCGGACACCCTGCGGCTATCTTCTCGGCCCTGACTGCTTAAGCGAAGCCCGTGCGGGGTCCGTGGCTCCGCAGCCTGCTCTTACTCCCGCAGCCCGCTGCGGAGGCTCCTCTCTAGGCCGGCCTCTCCACGGAGGCGCAGGGCACGAGGGCACAGAGCGCCCCCGCGGCACCCCTCCCGGCACAGCAGCCGCCCCGCCCAGCCTCGGCTCCTGTGGCCTCTCTTCCCCACGGTCATCCGTAGTTTGAAAACACTGAACGGGAAATTCTAGAAGTAATTCATGCTTTCAAAGTGCTCATTAGCGCACCTTGTTAGAACTGTTCTATGGCATTATGAGTTACCGTTCCCAGTCTCTCACTGTGACTAATTCCTAAGTTAAACTTTATTACAGGCACGCATGCACAGGAAAAACACAGTCTAAGCAGAGTGCAGGACAGACATTCCTGTTTAATGACTGTTTGGACTCAGCACCTGTACTCAGACTGACAGCCTGTCTTTTTTGGGTACAGTTCTGCACCTCTTGTTTAGACAGCCTCAATGTCTTCTTCTGGTACAGTACCTTGTTTATACAGTGCTGTAATTTTTGCTGGTTGTATATACAGTACTACAGTTTTATGTTCTCTTATACAGTGCAGCGCTGCATGTGAGGGTTACACAGATAAAGACGAGGTCCTCACGTTGGAGCTTCCTTTGACCATTTCTTTGTCCCGCATACGGTAATGTCCACACTGTATGCGACTCCTCATTTAGCAACTAACTCACCTGACAACCCAGTCGCAGGACCAGCACCCAGTCGTCAAACCTGCACTGTCTGCACGTGCAATTTCGCGGGACACTGCGAGTTTTGGAAGCTAACCCCTCCGTAGAGGAGGAAACTATTCTAACGACACGCTTCCTGTCTTTTCTTTTGGCGGTCGGAGGGGTGAGACATGGTCTCGCTACTCAGTCCATGCTGTCCTTGAACCCCTCCGGCCTCAGTCTCCCAAGTCTCCCAAGCGCTGGGAGGACAGGTGTGTGGCAACACGCCCGTGTCCTCATCTCTTAGAGGCTGCTGTACAGTCTCTGCAGACAGTGCACTTCAGGAGGTGACGATCGCAAGTGCTGTAGACGGGGAAGTTTCTGCCCAGAGCTGGAGGGCAGTGCTTGCCATGGAGGCCCCGCCCGCCTCCCCGAGGCCACCGCCTCACCTGTGCTCCGGAGTGGTGTACTTGAGCAGCTCGGCCAGCTGCAGCGGGTACTTGCAGATCTTCTGCACGGGCGTGAGGAGGAAGCCGTCCAGGGCGATGTCGATCATCTGCTGCAGCAGGCGGCAGGCCTCGAAGAAGTGCCTGTACTTGCCCTGCTTCATGAGGTTGGAGAGCTCCACGCAGGCGCCGGGGTGGTTGTTGCAGTACTCAGAGTAGATGGCAAAGCCCTCTTGCTGGAAGGGAAACCCGCTCTGTCAGGCCTCAGGGCGCTGGACCGCCCCAGGGGAGCTCCTGGGGCGCAGGGCATGCTCCACAGCTGGACAGGGACACGCTACTTGCCCACGCTGTCACACACGCACTAAGGGAGCGGCACGAGCGTGGGCTCAGGTGTGATCACCGGGTTCTCTGCCCCCCCCCAGGGGGGGCGTGGGGCACGAGGAGGTGCGTGCCCCACCACCCTGACTCCGCCAGCTCCGACCTGAAGCAGCAGAGGAGGGAGGTGCTGCTCAGAGGCCGGGCCTCAGCCCGCCCCCTTTCACTCGGAACTCACTCGGGCCTCCACCTCCTCCCACGGTCTCCCCGGCGGCCTGGCTTCCATAGCTGTCACCCTGTCGCCTCTAAGTGGAGGCCATCTGCCCTTTCGAGCCTGGGGCCACGTCTCCCCTCCTGCCTGCCAGGGTTGTGCGCGGCCCCCTCCCCTCCAAGGCTGGGCGCAACTCGCTTCCAAGGCCCTGTCCTTGGGCGCTGTTCCGCGTCCCTGAACGCGGCCTTTCTCCCACCGTGCGCACGAGGTCCCTCGCTCACTCGCTGTCCAGCCCTCCTCACAGCGGCCCTTCCTTCCGCCCGGGCGCAGGCTGGGCAGCGCGTCTAAAGCCAGGCCTCTGTCTCCTTAGAAAACAGGCTTTCCCAGGCCATCCCACCCTCCGTGAACCCCCAACCCTGCTGGTACCTCTGACTGCCGCTCTTCCTCTGACGCCTAAACCGGCCTCGTCAGCCTCTGCTCAGAACCACCCACTGCACCAAGCCCGTCTCCGCTCTTCCGGCCGTCACCTGGCCAGACCCCGCGGCGCCGTCCTGACCGGGACTCCCGAGCCCGCTCTGGCCTCGCTCACCTCCGGAGCTGCTCCCTGCTGCGCTTCGACAAGCCCTGCTGCTCTGGCCGCGCTGGCTTTCCCAGGGCCCTCGCCGCGCCCCAGGCACCTACACGCCGCTCTCCCCGCAGGGCCTATCTGCTGCCTCCCGAAAGCTCCCGGGCCCGGCCCCAGCAAGCGCAGTTCTGCTGTCACTGTGGCCGTGGCCGCTCCATGACTACTTCAGAAACCCTTTAGTGCTCAGTAGCAATGGCCACCAGGACGTGGCGGCTGCTCACTCCCGGGTCTGGCTCCTCAGCTGTCAAAGCGCAAGGACAGCCATATCCCCTAAGGCAGCGCAGCCGCCGACAGGAGAACCCACGGCAGAGCCTCGTGTTTGGAGGAGGCCACCTGCCACATCGCCAGGTGACCAGTGAGACGCGAGGTGACCTACGTGTTGCAGAAAGCAGGATCCTATTTCACTTCGGTGAGGCTCCTCTTTGTTGTACTTTTTCTCAAGGTCTTTGAGGAACTGTCTTTGGAATTTGTAAATATCTTCAATGTTGCCAAAGATAGTGGCTAACTGCGCAGCAGTGAACATTCCTGTGTGCTTGCCACACTGCCGGATATAGCCCTGCGAAGTACAAAGGCGAATTTTTTATTTGTCTGCAGATTTAAAAATAATTACTTAGATAGTACAGGAGGTGGAGGAGGTCAAAGCCATGGGCTTGGAGTGGATTTTAGAGAAGATTACTTTTACTTTTATGGGTCCCTGATGAAACAGTTATACTTCCATGACTGTAACTTCCCATAAATATTTTTAGAACAAAAGGAAAGCAAAAAATTCAATATGGCTGGGTTTTTAAAAGTTCTAGAAACAAGTTACAAATGCCAGAGTTTCAAACACCAGAGCTTAAAAATTAGTTCTGCCCCTCTTTTCTAGACTGTTAAGGTGATCATTCTCTCATCCCTAATTCCGTTTCACAGCCGAGAAGACCTGTCAAGCACAGGATGTCACCGCCCGCAGAACAGCGAACGCAGTTCTCTGATTGCCGGTCGTGGCAAAGAGCCAAGAACATCCACCCCGAAGTTCCCACCATCCCCTGCCTTCTCTACACAGCACAGATGTGCACATCTTTACTCAGAGGCCTGACCCGTGAAAGCCGGGGAAACCACCCTGACACTACAGCTTCCTGGGCGTTAGTGGGATAAGAAGCAGCAGCCACACACACGTGTGAACAGCTACTCCAAAACAGCATCGTGTATTTGAACAGACTAAACTAGCCATTTCCTAACATAGATTTTACTGGCTTTTGGTATGAATCTCAACAAGAAAACAATACAGTGTAACAGTATGGGCTCTGGGGCTGACTGACTAGGGGTAGGTACCACCTACATCACACGATTGCTTTGCCTCTGTTTTTTCCCTCCAACAGGGACTAGGAGGGCCTGCCCCTAGAGAATGCTGGTGGGAACTAAGTTACGCCAGGTGACACCAACGCACAACGAACACCAGCAATCATGTGCACTTCCTTCAAATGCCGCTGTAAAGGTCCTCAGCCACCCGGTGACGCAGAACGAGTGAGGAATGGCCACAGCTGAAAGGACAGTGCAGACCTCAGCACTAATGACCAGGGCGGCTGGACTGGTCAGGCCAGGAGAGCCCCAGTGCAGGGCAATGCGCAGACAAGATCCATTAAAAACAAAACACAGCTGGGCACGGAGTGCACACCTGTAATCCTAGCACTATGGAGGCTGAGGCAGGAAGACTGCAAGTTTCAGCCCAGCCTGGGAAACTTAGCAAGACCTTGTTGCAAAACAACAAAAAAGGCCTGTAACAGCCCTAGATTCAATTCAGTCTCCAGTACCACAGAAAACCAAAAGGACAAACGCCACACGGGGCCGTTCTCTAAAATCGCAGCTACAGAGTAAAATTTATCGCTGACTATCCTGATACTGTAGAATATAGCTTTGGATATCACCAGATAAAACTAGTATTTTCAATCAGTGTCTAGATGACTCTGCATCTTGTCTGAGTCCATCACCAGATGCTGAGGTGTCAGGGCTGGTGACACCTTCGACTGTCAGGTCGGTGCGGCCTCTGTGGAAGTCGTGCCCTCAGAACGAGCTCAGGGGCTGGTCCTGAAAGAACCCCAGTGCGCCCTTAGAAGCAGGCCGGCTGCAGAGCACAGCAGCTAAGAGGGCCGCAGCGATGACCGTCGGCAGCGCTGAAGGAGTCTGCACGGGCCCAAGGCACCCGGAGCGGAGGTGCGGAGAAGCGGGTGCGAGGAGAGGTGCGGGCCGGTGGCTCGCTGCGGAGCAGCCGGGGCCCGCGCCTTACCTCGCAGATGTCCTTGAGGTGCTTGATGTACACCCGCTCGCTGCTCATGATCTCCTGGATGACGTTGGTCCGCATCTGGTGCTTGTTCTCGGGGTGCTTGTGGGGGCCGCGGCCGGCGCTGTCCTCCTGCTCCTCACCATGGTGGCTGCTGGAACTCTCCGGCAGCTCTTCCTGGTTGACGCGAAGCTGCGGACCACACACAGGGACAGGGGACAGGTGACCTGGGGGAGAGCTGGCTCCTGCTTCTCCAGAGCCTGTCGGGGGCAGCCGGGCCAGGGCCGCCTCCGTGTCCCTGTCCCCGGCAGAGCCACAGCAGTGACGCCACGCAGTGCGGCCCCCTTGGCACGACAGCCGTGTTCCGCCCAGCGACTGCGGTACAGCTTTGGCTGGCACACGGGATGAAAATCGATTACAGTGGAGCTGGGCCTGGACGTGAGAGCTCCGAGGCCACTGCTGCCTGCCCCCGCCGCCCCGAGGGCCCTCAGCGCCGCCCTTACCCTGACAAAGCTCGCGGGGAACCAGGCCTCCTTGTCTTCGCTCCGGCCCCACCACCAGTCCTTGTTGGAGGCTTCCAGGACCTGGATGACATCGCCAGCCTTGAAGCCCAGCTCCTGGTCGTCCATGGTCACATGGTCCCAGAGGGCCTCCGCGCAGACCACGCTGCCGTCGCTGATCAGCTGAGAGGAGGACAGGAGCGCACACTGAGCGGGAAACAGGCAGGCCGGCTGCTGAGGTGGGGCCGTGGGGGCACTGACACCGTCTAGTTCTCACGTGGACACCGGGCACCTCCCAATCCCTGCTCTGTGGTACACCAAATTAACCTGGGGACACGCGCTGGGGAAAGAGCACAAGCTGGGCGTCTGACCTGCTCACCAAGGGAGACCCAAACCCACCTGTGAGAGACGGACAGACGCCCTGACTTCCGATGGGCTGACAGCCCCACAAACCCATCAGAAACTGAAAATACCTTACATTAAAAATGTATTTAGTCTAACCACCTAGCTTATGTAGCCTACAGTAAATGTACTCGGGACATGCCCACTAGCCTGTAGCTGGGCAAAATCATCTAACAAGAAACTTACTTTATTTTTATTCATTCATTCATTCATTCATTCACTCATTCATTTGTTTGGTTTTTTAGAGACAGAGTCTTACTATGTAGTTCAGATGGGCCTTGAACTCACAGCGATCCTCCTGCCTCAGCCTCCCAAGCGCTGGGATTACCGGTGTGCGCCACCACGCATGGCTTGAACGCTACTTTGTAAGTAAGTGATGAGTAGCTCACATAACTCATTGACTACTATTCCTAAAGTGACAAACAGAATGGTTGTTCTATACTGCTAGCCCCAGAAAGGGTCAAATTCGAAGTACCACTTCTACTGAATGTGTGAGTGTCACTTTCACCATGGTGAAATAAGAAAGTGTAAGTTTCAACCTGAGGTCACTGTGTAAATACCTCATTTAACAGACTAGTTACCAAAATGCTCGATATCTGGAATATTCGCTAAAATAGTTCTGACCAGCTAAACCAGCTGTTACCGAGCCAAGTGCTCCTAACGCTTCACGTGTATGTGACGGCACACCCCTTGCACCTTCACCGGAGTGCGTCACTAAGACTCTACTCCCAACTCGAGGAAGCCTGGAGTAACTTTAGAGTTTGCTGCAACTAACACGAGCACGGCGGGGTCTTGGGAATCGCGAGCAGACGCTGCTGGTCTCAGGTGCAGCAGCAGACGACCGACACCTCCTCACCTGCCACAGACATGGGCTCAGCATCGCTCACCCAAAACGCTCAGCATCAGGAGTTTCGGATTTCAGGGGTTTTGGGTTTGGGGGCATTTCCACAGGCTTTACTGGTTGAACATCTTTAACCCAAAAATCAAAAACCTGAAACTCCGAATGTCTGGACATTGCAGTTTCAGAGTTTGGGGCGCTCTGGGCTTTGGATTTTCCTTCTGGGGCCCTGGGCTTGTGTCAGGTGACACAGGAAGCCTGGTGACCCCAGTGGGCTGCCAACGCGCTGAAGCCATGCTTGGTTTAGGAACACACAAAGCTGGACGGGCTTTCTACAAAGATTCCCGTCCCAAAGGCTACAGCTGCCGCGTGGGAGAAAGGGCGCCAGCTTGGGCGTGAGGAACACGCGGTTAACCCAGCGCTCCCAGCGGCCGGCGCACACTTGTCTCTCCTGGTCTTGGGGCGTTTATGAGGGTGCAGATGGTGCTAGTTAACGTCTCTTAGGTCAGCTGACGGAGTTACACAAGCTCACGGGAGGGGCAGCACGGCATAAACTGACACGCCGGCCCTGAGTGCTGACGGCTGCGGCTCTTCTCCCCTGGAGGTGCACCTCAGTGGCTGACAGACTCTCCACAGGCATTTCTCTGCGCAACCGAGAGACCACAGTGCCGTTCCTACAAGGGTTCCAGGACTAGGAATACCCTTGGTGAAGAACAGGCCAAGAGCAACGGCACGAGTGGCTCTGGTCCCTGAAACCCGGGTGCTGGTCGGGGTGTCGTGTGCAGTTCTAGTACCTCGTTGACCGCCAGCTGCTCCCCTCCTGGCTGCAGATACCGAGGGTTGGCCTGGCAGAGCTCTTCGTAGCTGAAGTCCTCCTCACTGCCATTGTCATCCACTAGGGCAGAGGACTCCGTGCCTCCATCTGAAGAGACTGTGAGAAAGGAGAAGGCATGGTTCAACAGGCAGCACGAGCTAGTGTGTGCCTGCCATCCCTGCCACCTGGAGGCTGAGGCAGGAGGTTGTTAAATGTGAGACTAACGCTGGAAACGCAGTGAGACTCTGTCTGAAAACAAGAGCGAAAGGCCTGGGGATGCAGGCCACCAGTCCTTGGGCTCAATCCCCGAAGTGGGGCTTTTGCATGAGAGAAGAAAGGGCCTCTGGTGACACGCTCGCCCCCCAGAGGAAAGAATCAGTTCTGCCCTGCTCAGAGTGAGAAACTGTTAGGCAGCTTCTCCTGCGTATTTATTGACCCACAGGTAACAACTGACGCCAGAGGAACTGGGGTGAAAGGTTCCTTCCGCGAGAAGCACACCACCTCGCGGTGCCCTGTCCACACGGAGTTGTTCTGCGCTAAGGTGGAGTGAACTACATGTGATTTGGTGGGAAATTTGCACTCCCACTTGACCTGATGCTTTTTTTTTTTTTGGTACCAGGAATCGAACTCATGACCTTGCACTTGTCAGGCAGGTGCTTTGCTGCTGAGCTGTATCCCCAGCCTGTGCTCCCATTTGAATATAAAAAATACTTGAGGTAAAGAAAATACAAAATTTAATCATTTAAAAAAAATCCTGCTTCTGCCATGTGTGGTGGCACACACCTTTCATCCCTGCACTCGGGAGGCTGAAGCAGGAGGATCGCCAAGGGTCGAGGCCAGCCTGGAATACACAGTGAGACCCTCTCTCAGTAAGACAAAACAAAACCCTGCTTCCATGTGCACGGCAACAGTAGCACCAAAGGGCTCCAACAGGATCATCTGCTGGTGAAAACATGCGGCCACTCATCGCAGGCAGAAGGACTGGAACCCCCGTGATCAGATCAGTGAGTACACGGCGCCTTTACGACCTACAGGAGACAGGGACCTCTGAACTGTGACGCGTGTTGGCAGAGCATTTTCGCCCGGCCACCCAGGCATTCACACTTCTTCCGTGGGACCAGGCCCCATGCGTGCCACATGCTGTCTATCACTGAATGGAGCCATGCTTGGCTCGGTGCCACGGCTGCCAGGTGCTGGGGACACGGGCTAAACCAAGGACAGACAGCTCTCTCCCTAAGGGGCCACGGCCTGGACTCGGGTGAGAGGTAAGAAAACCCCTGAAGACTCAAGCCAGAGACTGGGAATAGGGTGAGTGAGGTGCCATGAGTGGCCGTGGGCTTTCACAGAGAAAGGATATCCCGAGTAGCTCCGTGGAAGGGGCGGCTGTCTATGCCCGACGTCAATGGCAAGCAGCGTTGGCACCTGGAGCAAATGCCACGTGGGCACCAGCACAGAAGCCCCCTTCACCTGCAGTTCCATTGCTGGTGGGTTCCCTTAGCCCAAAACGTATTAATGGAGAGTTCCAGAAATAAATGATCCTTAAATTTTGAGTAATGTTTGTAACTGTTCTGTTAATATTGTTGTTAATCTCTCCCTCTGCATACTTCACAAATTGAACTCTCTCATGGGTCTCCGTGTGCACACAGGGTTAGGGACTGACTTTCAGGCAGTGTCTGGGGTTGTGGAGGGGACCCCTGGGCAGGTCGGGGTGAGGGCACGCCGTACAGCCCACCGAGCCTGAGCAGGCCAGGATGCTCTGGAGGATTCCGAGCCGGGACCACAGGCTGTGCGTAGAGGTCCTCTGACACCGAAGGCGCACAGAGCGCGGGCGCCGAGCGAGCGCTGGGCGGAATTCCAGCCCTGCCCCTTGGTAGGCACGGGCCTCACCCACGTGGCCTGTCCTCGACTCCTTTCAAAGAATGAGGTGACGGAAGTGTGTGGAGCGTCCTAACGTCATCAACACACGGCCGGGACAGTGAGACAGTCACGGTGCAACGGCAGGGACAGGAGCTGCGGAGGAAGGACTTTGCCACGACCTGGAGGAAGGCTGTGGGGCAGAGGCGCGGCCAGGGACGCTCTGGGAGGAGCCAGGGTAGCGGAGGGGGGGGGGCAGCACCCGGAAGGCAGTGCGAGTGGAGCCCAAGGACCGCAGAGGGGCAGCGCAGGCTGGGTGCGCAAGGCTGCAGGGAGCAAGGTCTCAGAAAGTCCCAAGGTTCTGGGAGGGCTGACACAGGGAGGCCAGAGGCAGCGGCCAGTGCGGCAGGAAGGACGAAGGCCGGGGTGGAGCAGCCATGGACGGCACTCTTCTGCCTTTTCCGAAGACATGTGAATCTGTGTTTCTGCCTTTGCCGAGCACAGGGGTCTCCTGCTACACTACCGCGTCTTCTTTGAGACAACTTATACTCTGATAGCTCCAAGACGACTCTCGCCCCCGCCTGTCTCAGCGGGACCGACCCCACTCCAGCAGCTCCACAGACCCTGCCAGCCCAGGGCCTCCCTTCCAGCACTCCAGCCGTGCCGCCGTCGGAGCCCCGGGTTCTCACACTGAGAAAACGGAGCATCCTGACCAAGACGCGCAGCGGTGGGGACAGCGCCCCGTGACAGGCACTGTGGACTGAGTCGCGCTCCGCAGCCTAGGTTCTCCTCAGCCAGCACGGAGGGCCGAGGCAGCACGAAGACCACAGACGCACAGCACGTCCAATCAGACGGCGGGAGGGCAGAAAGCTGGCTGATGGGCAACTCCGCCACCGAAGCTCCCCAGCCTGCCGCAAGCCGCCTGCCCGGGGGCCGCCCCATCCTGCGGGCACCACGGTCCAGCCAGGCCTGCACGTGGCCCGTGTTTGTGGCCTGCTTTCCTGCAGCGGGGACCTGGCCACTGGAAATGCTGCGTGTTCGCAGCAGCCACCACCTGTCTGATCCCTCCTGTGAGCTCGGGCCCAGGGGCGCACAGTAGGCCGTCTCCCCGAGTCCCGCCGCGCCTGCCTTGGGAGGACAGCGGCCTTGGATGCATGAGGGTCACTGGTCAGGTCTAAGCTCCAGGTGTGGACCCAACTGGGTGCCTGGCTCTGCCCCACGGTGGCCCCCTTCCTGCCCCGCCCCCTCCAGCCTCACTCAGAGGTCAGGGCGGCGGGCAGAAGCGAGCTGCACTGCGGGGAGGCTGTGCTGGGAGGTCTGCGCACACGGCCAAGAATCCAGGGAAGTGGCCCAGATCCCCCGTACCCAGCTTCTTTCCGGTCCATCAAGGAGGGTGCAGCCCTGGCAGGAACACTGAAGCCTGGTCTGCAGTCAGGGCAGCGCCGTGGACATGCAGGCAGCTATGGGGGTGACACCTGCCTCTTTCAGGGGCTCCCCCACCGCAGGGAGAGCAGGGCCGGTGCTCCTGCGGCCCTTAGCAAAGAGGTCTTAGGAGAGCCATGCTGCTGTCGGGGCACACCTGGGCACGCCTGTGCAGTCACGCTCTCTGTCCAAGGCAGTTTCTCCAAGCTCCGCTGCGGTCAGACAGCCTGCAAGTGGTGAACTCGGGGTGACCCCGACCGGTGCCCTTTCCCGGGGCGTGCGTGGGGTGCTGTGGGAGGATGTCCTGAGGAAGCTAACAACTTTGTTTCATGCGTGAGCACATCTCAGGCTACAAAGAGGTCAGCACCACGCCCTCTCCAACCTTGGAGCGGCTGCCACACAAGGCCCGGGGAGTGGGTACCTGGGTGACACCTGCAGTGTCCCAGGGCTCCTGTGTGAGCAGAACCTACCCTGAAAGGCACTGGGGCGTCTTCAGGTCTAGCCAGCAGCGACCTGACACTGCCTGGCACCAACCGCGTGTCTGCCTATCACTGCCATGTCCCGGCTGAGCCACAGAGAACAAGCTGGGCGGAATAAAGCCGTCTGGGCCTCCCACCCGGGCAAAGGCCTTAAAATGACACTCTCTCCCTCCAAGGGCCTTGGCAACATCTGCCCCATGGGGGCCCCCATCTGATCCGGCTGTTCCTGTGAGATCAGTAACGAAAGGGGAAGAGTCAGCCGGTAATGATGGACTTAGGGAGTCTGTAGAGAAGGGCACCCACGGAAAGGGTTTAACCCCACCGGAGGCAGGAGCAGAGCTCTCTGGAAGACATGCGGGTGTGCTCATGGGAGGTCGAGCTCCTACCAAAGGTGCTCAGAAGAACAAGGCGGCTCGGGAGAAAGGTTCTGGTGGCGGTCCAGCCCCGCAGAGGAGCACTCACGAAGGGCCGTGGCAACGAGACATCCGAGGGTTCAAGGATAGCTCGCACCCCACCTGGGGAGAGGGAGTGGGTGGGGCCTGGGTGCGAGCGAGGTAAGGCAAGGCCAGGTCTGCTATTGCAGAATTACCTAGGTACAAGCAAAGATGACATGTTGGGAGTGCTGACGTGCAGCAGCTCTGACCTGATCACATATGATACATACATGTACATGCACACATGGTGTACCCTGCAGACACACAGTTACTGTCCATTGAAAACAGCACTTATTAAAAAAACCCAGGCAACTACATGTCCCAGCTTCACTCTCTTTCTAGTAAGTGACCCTAGCACAAGTCATTCTTTCAATTTCCGTTTTCCTATCTGTAAGATGGGAGCAAGTGCACAAGTTCCATGCGTCTGAGGGCCTGTTTCCCTGCCTTCCACATCCCCGTGCGATGGCCGGCTGCAGCCTGACTCCTCTGCCCTCCTGGAGGCGCCTACCCCAGCCCGCACCACCCGCCCGGCAGGGATTGCCCCGGCCGCCTGCCCCTAACCAGGCAGCCCGAGCGGCACCGCTTCAGCCCTAAGCCAGACTGCATCATCTTCTGCTCAAAACCAGCCTCCCGGCCCTGCTCTCCACTGCACGCTGGCCTGCGCTTCCCGCTGCAGACACACCGGGTGCTCTGCCAGGGCTTGCTGTCCCCGCACCTGACTCCCTCTCCCACCCGCTGCTCCGCCCACCCTCCACTGCGCCAGCTCTCACCCCACCCGCCCTGCCGTCCTCGCCGGTTTCTTCTTCTCCAGGGCAACTGTGACCATCTAATGTATTTTATTCACTGCTTGTCTAGACAAAAGTTTCCTAAACACACTGATTCTAATTTGACCTACTGTTACCTGCATTTTAGTAACTAGGCCAAGTAC